AAATGCTATCTATCCTTTTCAACCGTCTAAATTTTTGGCGCAACTCAAAGCAAAGAAGTTCAGAAAGCAAATGTGTCCAGGGAATCATTTCCTGTTGCCTCACGTTTCAGTTCTGTCCTGAAAGTACAGTCTCATTTTGTTTCTCCGACCAGGAAAATGACTGCTGCAGTTAAATTCTGAAATGTAATACTGAGGTTATTACTTTTATTTTTACAGTTTCCTGACTAGAAAGACAGTCATACTCCACTGACTCCAGAATATCGTTTTTTTACTTTACCAGTGCATCAATTTTCTACGCTGCATGCTCAGATATTCTAGTTCCAACGTGCAACTGAAAACTAAAATTTAAAAATACTAAGGTTTCATGAAGAACGAAGCTTAAACAAAGGAATCTGTGTGTGTGTGCTTAGTCATTCAGATGCGTCCAACTCTGGGACCCCATGGACTGCAGCTCGCCAAGTGCCTCTGTCCATGGGATTTCCCAGGCAATAAATACTAGAGTGGGTTGCGATTTCCTCCTCAAGGGATCTTCCTGACGCAGGGATTGAACCCACATCTCCTGCACTGGCAGGCAGATTCTTTTATCACTGAGCCACCTGGGAAGCCTCAACAAAATACAAATGAATGCATGTGAAAGAGCAGCACCATTCTCTGCCAACTCTTCAGGGCACAGTAATCCCTGAAGGTTTCGTATCAGACCCCTAAACTTGCTGCCCAAACCATTAGCAGCAACTCCAGGTCCCATGGAATTAAGCTGAATCCTCCATATTAGTTTATTACTCCTTGGGGGAATTCTCTGTATTTAGCACTATCAGGTGTAGTTTGGTTTTACTAGGAAATAGATGGGTATATGTAAATGGCTCCAGGCAAATACATCCCATAAACTGACACAAAAAAAAGAGGATAAGGTATAAACAATATTCTTTCCCGGTGCCTCTCCACAGACAAGCATGATTAATAATTCTCCTTTTGCATAAAGCAATGATCTCCAAGTGTGACCAGCAGCATCAGCGTGGACATCACTGGGAACTTGACAGAAAGGGAAACTCTGGGGCCCAGCCCCAGACTCACTGAACCAGGATCTTTGTGCTTTAACAAGATCCCTCTCCAGGTGACACTGATGCACATGCAAGCTCTGAGAACCACTGTCTAGACAAATCAGACAAACAAGTACATTAAGCCTAGACAAGGATTTCTCCAATTCGGCATTAATGACATTTGGGGCTGGACGATCCTTTCCACGAGGGACTTTCCTGAGTGTTACAGGCTGTTCAACATCCTCTACCCACTAGATCCCAGGAGCACCCTCCCCCAGTTATGACAACCAAAGCATCTCCAGATAGTGCCTGACGTTCCCCTCCCCCCAGAGGAGGGCGGGAGGCAGAATCCTAGCATTTGACACTTGCTGCTGGGGTAGCCAACCACTGACACTGCCTCAACTCAGCGCCTCCAAACGCGCAGGGCCAGGTACACGGCAGGGAGAGCCAGGGCCTCAGAGTCAGACCTGGGTTCAACTCTCACTCCCGCCATTTACTGGCAATGTGACCTTGGGCATTAATAGTTACTTCAGTGCCCCTTGCGCCCCAGTTTTCTAAATGGCCATGTGCCCATTACACCTACACTATGTTCCATAGAAGTCCCCGTGGGACCCACAATAAAATGCATTGATATCTCTGCAGTAAAACAAATGAATACTCATGCCACATGGGGTAAATAAAGATTACAAATACTCTCATCTACGGAGGTCAAGTTTTAGCACCAATGAGTTTTCAGGCCTAACTCACAAAAACAAACAAAAACACCTCTGACTTTTACAATACCTTGAATTTTGGAACTGTCGATAAGAGAAAGTGACTGAACCCATCTCACAGGCAGATGTGAGGACTGGATGCAGTTACATACATTGGTCCAATTCTGTACTGAAAGAGGGAAGGGACTTTTAAAAGGTTAACTATTGCTATTTTTAAAGCACAAATTCTGGGGGACTTCCCTGATGGTCCACACTCCCAATACAGAAGTCCTGGGTTGGATCCCTGGTCAGGGAGCTAGATCCCACATGCCACAACTAAAAAGAACTCACATGCTTCAGGGGTCTTCCAGGTGGTGCAGTGGTAAAGAATCCGCTTGCCAATGCAGGAGAAGCGAGAGATGCAGGTTAGATCCCTAGGTCGCGAAGATTCCCTGGAGGAGGAAATGGCAACCCACTCCAATATGCTTACCTGGACAATCCCAGGGACAAAGGGGCCAGGCGGGCTACAGTCCATGAGGTCATAAAGAGTCAGACATGACAGAGTGACCGAGCACACACATGATGCACCTAAGACCCCCTCGTGCCAAGTAAATGAATAAATATTTTGAAAAAAAGAAAGATTTCAAGTACACATTCTGATGGTGTCTTTGCCTGCTTTAAACTCTTTGATGGTCCCCAAGTGCTCGCAAACTGAAGTCCAAATCTTAACAGTAGTAACCAACGAAGATCCTTCTATAACGGGACACTGGACCTTCCAGCTCTCAGTACACTTTCTGCTCTGGGCATCTAGAAATAACCATGGTTCTGTACCGCCTGCAATTCCCTCCTGTCCTTTCCCTCTGCCTGGACCAGGGTCACAAAGACCACTCCTTTCACCAGTGATATCTCCTCCAGGAGGCTTTTCTTGAAACCCAGGGCTCACCCAAGGACCCTCCTTCCCTTGTGTTTCCCCAGCAGCTAGGGAGTGGAGAGCACAGGGCCATCCCTTCACCACACCATCCAGCCCTTTGGGAACAGCAATTTCAGCGTCCGTGTTTTCTACCCACAGATCTAAGATGGGCCTGGCACACAGTAAGTGCCCAATAAATGCTTCTTTGATGATAAATGGTGGTCAGTGTTCTATCCCCTGGCTGGTCCTATCAGGTTGGGGGCCATAAAATAATGAATCAGAAGTTATATAAGGGCAAGTGCTATGACTTTTGCTCCTTGTTCTGTCTAGGGCCTGGCACTCAATAAGGAGATTATTTCTAAATCTATAAATGAGTGAATAAACAAACGACTGAAGAATATGACACAGACTTATTACAATGTAAAAACAAACCACCACATCCAACAACAACAAAAACCTCATAGCCATGTGCTTTCATAAATCTCATAAAGTGTAGAACCTGCTACAAAGAGTGTCCTGCCTTCCAGGAAGTTCCATGGGCCTGAAACACAAATTAGAAACCCGAGGCCCCAACCCCCACCGGGTCTGCCAGGACCCTGCTGTGCCCCCATGAAAGTATCTCCCGGAACACTTCAGTCCCAGAGCAGTTAAGTAATCACTTTCCACAAAACACTGATCAACACTGCTCCTGGCCAGTAATCACACAATTTACCCAACACACATGAGTCATGACTAAAATATTTTACTAAACAAAGACAGCTAACTTGTATAAAGTGATGTCTCCATCTATGTTCATATCATGCAAATATCATTATTCTGTCCTTTGTCTTTTTTTCAAACAGTCCCCTCTTCTCCCTGAGAGGACAGGAGACTTAGCAACTGAACAGGAACAATTTCAGCCTGTGGCTCAGGTACCCCAATCTCCTACTCCTTCTTGGTGACACGCCCACATCCAGGTTTAACCAATCACTCCCCACCTCGTTTGCGGTCAGTTACTCCTAAATTGCCTGCTCACAACAAACTCACTCAAAAGCAAAATACAAAGGTCAAATAGGCGCTGGGGGTTTCAGGTTTCCTCTTCTCAGTGGGAGCAGGCCCTCAAAACTACCGACTACAAAAACTAGATGAGGAAAGGCTGTACCGTGCCTCCCACTTTTAACAAAACAGCAGAACCCTCCTTCTTCCAGAAAGACTTTCCACTTTTGCAGTATCACCGTTTAAGAACACTCACTGCAGCAAGCAAACAGTATCTCTCAAAAATATCAGTCATTTCCTCCAAATTCCCACAGTAAAGCCACTAACCTTTGAAACTTTTAAGGGTTTACAAAACGCTAGAGTTACAACACAAACAATCTCTCTTCCATCCAATCATAAAACCCTGGAAAGACCAGAGAGCTGGACTGGGGAATCTTGGGGTGCATTTCTGTGCCTCTCCACGAACCTCAGTTTTCTTGGGGAGAATGAGAAAATCGCATCGGATCAGTGTTTCCCGAAGTATGATGGGCAGGACGCCCTGTTAACAAGACAGAGCCGACTTTAGGTGCACAGAGATGAACGTTTTAGCCATCAATTTTTTGTGGCAAGGGATTACTGGTTTTCCATTAACAGTGGAAATATCAAATTTTCTTTTAAAAAAACAGCATTTTTATTAGAGTCTTTTCTTAAGTGAGTCACTTTTGGGGGGGGGCGGAAACACACTGTTTTGTGAATAACAATTCAGGTGGTTCTAACAGCTGTGGAAAAATAACTGATCTAGAGACCTGGTGAGCGCCCAAAGAGAGGTGTAAACCCCAGCATAGGGCAGAAAGTGCTGAAGCCCCGGGAGGTTTGTTGCAAGAAGGGGATCCTTGGCACCCGGTCCCGCGGGAACAGGAGGCCAGTCCTGGCTCCCAGAGAAGGCGGCCTGGAACGGACCGCGGAGGGGACGCTTCCAGCTCTGGGCAAAGGAGAGTTGGGGGAAGCGGGGGTCCCGGGCTCGAAGGGCATACCATGGGGGGGTCTCGGACCAGAGGGGCGTGGCGGGGATGAGGGTCTCGGGCTGGGGTAGCGCAGTGGCCGGGGGTTGGGACAGGTGTCCCGGACCGGGAAGTGCGAAGCAGGGACCGGGGTCTGCGACCAGAGAAGCGCGGCGGCGGGACGAGACTAGAGGAACCCCACGGGCGGGAACTCGAGGGAGGGGGTCCCGGCGACCCAGACGGGCTGGCGGGGGGCGACGGGCCCCGGGACCCGGGGGCCGTAGACGCCCCCACGCGGAGAGCGCCAAGGCCGGCGACCCCCACGGCCCCCACACCCGGGCGCCGGTGGAATCCGGGCCGCCCTCATCGCACCTCGGCCCCGCCGGGCACCAGCCGCCGGCCCTACCTGTCCTCGCTGGCCGTGATCACTCCGTCCTCCTTGGGGATGAGCAGCGCGGCCGTGACGGTGTCCTGGTGCCCCTCGATCTTGCTCAGCAGCACCGGGCGGCTGCTCTGCGGCCTGGAGTGGATCTCGGCCGCCATGTTCGAGCGGCGGCGGCGGTCTCCGCGACGGGCGGCCCATCAGCTGACTGCGGGCGGGCGGGGACCCGTTGGGTTTCGCTCTGGCTCCCTCGGCCGCGTGGGTGCCGCGCCGCCGTAAGCTCCCGAGTGCTTGCGCTGTCTACCGTATTGGCTGAGGAAGCCGCGCAGCTAAAAATTACGTGGCCAGGAGAGAGGCCTGTAAAGGGATCGCCTGAGAAGTGGGGGAGGTTACAAAGTTCGAAAAGGAAACTCATGGGTCCAGGAATGGATTGAGCAGTTGGCGGTGAAGAGGAATTGTCCCTTAAACTAGAACCTATCGAATATAACAATACTATACTGTATCCATTCTAAGAAGCCTTTGTTTGGACCACACCTCCATTCCAGACATGTTAAAGTGCGAAAAATAAGAATGCAATTTAGAATTTTTGACAGGTACTCATTGAGTGGTGACTGTATACCAAGCACGATCCTAGAATCTTTATTGAGTTCAGTCAGTTCAGTCGCTCAGTCGTGTATGACTCTTTGCGACCCCATGGACTGCAGCACACCAGCCTTCCCTGTCCATCACCAACTCCCGGAGATTGCTCAAACTCATGTCCATTGAGTCAGTGATGCCATCCAACCATCTCATCTTCTGTCGTCCCCTTCTCCTCCTGCCTTCAATCTTTCCCAGCATCAGGGTCTTTTCCAATGAGGCAGCTCTTCGCATCAGGTGGCCAAAGTATTGGAGCTTCAGCTTCAGCATCAGTCTTTCCAATGAATATTCAGGACTGATTTCCTTTAGGATTGACTGGTTTGATCTTGCAGTTCAAGGGACTCTCAAGAGTCTCCTCAAATACTACAGTTTAAAAGCATTAATTATTTGGCCTCAGCTTTCTTTATAGTCCAACTCATATCCATACATGACTACGGGAAAAACCATAACTTTTTGACATGGGTTATCTTCATCCAGATAACAATTTAAGAGGTGAAGAAGTGCGCTCGCAGTATCACTTTGGAAATGAGAAAACTGAACCATGGAGAAGTCCAATCACTTGTTTAAAGTCACAAAGCTATGAGAAAGAGAAAAGCAGCCCTTGACTTCTAGGAGTTGGCCTGGTACTGTCAGCCAGACTTGGGTGTTGTTGGGAGCTGGCTGGATGCTCACAGCTAGTATGTGGAGCATAAATGTTGCTGAACCGAATTTGGATCTGTTAGCCCAAAGCACAGCAAAGCTGCTGACACCACACTGTAGTGAAGGAAAGTCAGCATTTATTTGCAGGGTGGCTTCCCTGATGGCTCAAAAGTAAAGAATCTCCCTGCAACACAGGAGACCCAGGTTTGATCTCTGGGTAGAGAAGATTCCCCTCGAAAAGGGAATGGCTACCCACTCCAGTATTCTTGCCTGGAGAATTCCATGGACAGAGGAGCCTGGTGGGCTACAGTATGTGGGGTCATAAAAGAAAGAAAGAAAAACAAAATGACCAAGCAACTGAGTAAGAGAAGCAAGGAGAACAGGCAGTTCATGCTCCCAGAATGGCTTTCAGGGAAGGTTTTAAAGGCAACATTTGGGTAAGGGTTGCGACTCATGACTTTCTTCTGGTTGCTTGGTGGTGATGGGTTATGTTTAGAAATCTTAATCGTCAACCTTCTGGTTCTGACTGGTCTAGGGTACACGTGCTTTTGGTCAGCATATAGTCACCATTCTCCACCTGGGTGGAGGAGGGGGGTCTTAGTTTCTGCAAAACAACTCAAAGATATGTATCAGATTGCTAGACTCTCCCTTGAGGAGGAGCGAGGACTGTTATCGCTGAACTATTGTTTAAGCTATTATTACTTTTCTTGCTGACTGCTTTTCCTGTTTCTGTGTTCCCTGGGTCCCCTAATTAGTAACTACTCTTTGGAACTCAGGAAAGGTCAGTGACTAGAGCATTTTTCTATAAGCAAAAAACTGTGGCCCCCCATTTTCTTTAATACTCCTCTTTCCAACTATATTAGTAGATCATTTATTAGAGTATTTCTCTCAGTTAATGAAATACTGCAAAAATAACAGTTCCTTGTGCTTTCTTCAATTTATATGAATGATATTCCATGAATTTTCAGTATTTCACATGCTTTGTAACACAAAACCCAACCACAATCCCCTCTCATGTCTTCTTCGAGAACTTGCTTCACCTAGAAATACATCAGCTTGTTTTGCCATATGCATCAAATCCCTGTTTTCTTCTTTCCCTGCCCATAGGGAACCCTTTTACAAATGGGAATGAACCATTCAGATTCTTCCTCTTGATTGGTTAAGCTAAGAGATCTGAACTGAGTTGTATGACCTGTCAAAGAAAAATGAGAGCTGGACAGGTTAATAACATCCTATTTAGGAACTATTCCCCTAAAAACAGGGGAAAAGAGACCCCAGCAGAGAACTGGGCTCAGTTTCCAATACAACATGGACAAGTGGTGATTTTTGAACTGTGGTATTGGAGAAGACTCTTGAGAGTCCCTTGGACTGCAAGGAGATCCAACCAGTCCATCCTAAAGGAAATCAGTCCTGAATACATATTGGAAGGACTGATGCTGAAGCTGAAACTCCAGTACTTTGGCCACCTGATGTGAAGAAATGACTCACTGGAAAAAACCCTGATGCTGGGAAAGACTGAAGGCAGGAGAAGGGGACAACAGAGGATGAGATGGCTGGATGGCATTACCAACTGGATGGACATGACTTTGAGCAATCTCCAGGAGTTGGTGATGGACAGGGAAACCTGGTGTGCTGCAGTCCAAGGGGTCGCAAAGAGTTGGATACAACTGAGAGACTAAACTGTACTGAAGTGGGGATTTAAAGCCAAGGAGTAGGGTAGAGGTCAGTGGCTGGAAAAGTACTAGGAGGAAACATCAGGGGTACTAAGGGATTCTGCCTCAACTAAGTTGACAGAATTCTTACAAAAGGCAGGCCAGGGTGATCAGACATAACTGGAGGATAGTAAGGTTTATGAATTTGATAAGATATCAAGGATTGTCAGACATCGGGTGAGGGGAGCCTCTCTAAACTGACTTAACTTTCTTGTTGAAACTGTGATGCAGGCCTGTCAAGGGGGCAGACTGGAGCCTGAGGTGGAAGCCTTGTTGAGAAGAGGGCTTAGAGAAGCCAGACCGAAGTTTGGTCAAGGAGAATCTTTGCCAGATCCTAACACTGAAGATTCTTGAGCTAAGTCGTAGCATGCTTTGGGATGGTTTTGGTCACCACCTCCTGTATGTTGTTATGAACCAGTTTTCAGGGAGGTGAATGTGGGTGAGATGTGTCCAGGAAGAAAGGAAGGAAGAAGATTGATTACAATGGAGGCTGACTACAATAACCTAGGAGAGAAGTAGGCTGGCCATCAGATAGCTCCTGTGGAAATAAATTGAAAGAAGACTTGCCACATGGACAAAAGAGGGTATTTGTGGAAATAGGAACAACTGAAGACATAGGAGTCCAAGTTGAGTGACTATGGGGGATGCCATTAACAAGTAGAGAGATCACGGAAAGAGGTGCTCTTTCAACATCTACATGTTTTGTGGGCAGTTCAAAATTTGAGGATTCAGACAGTCTTCTTTGGTGACTTAATATTAAGTTTAAAAAATAAATTAATAGTTTGGTAAGAAAGCAATATTCATTGGAAGGACTGATGCTGAAACTGAAGCTTCAATACTCTGGCCACCTTATGTGAAGAACCGACTACATTGGAAAAGACCCTGATGCTGGAAAAGATGGAAGGCACGAGGAGAAGGGGACGACAGAGGATGAGATGGTGGGATGACAAAGAGCCAGGTACGACTGAGCCACTGGACTGAACTGAGGGAAAAAAATAAAAACAAAACAAAACAAAACAAAACCCAACGTTTGCGCATGCCCGCTAAACACCCCCACTGGCCTCCACACACCGGGCGCTGGCTCAGCCCCCGCCTCTCCCGCGTCGCCCGGTTTCCGGGGGAACTGTGTTACCGCGACACTGCTCCGGCTTTCCTTCTTCCGCCCTCCATTGCTTTCTCCGGTGCAATGGCATCCGGCCTGACGAGGCTGCTGCTGCGAGGTCCCCGTTGCCTCTTGGCAGCGGCCGGCCCCACTCTCGCCCCGCCGGTTCGGGGAGTGAAGAAGGGATTCCGCGCCGCTTTCCGGTTTCAGAAGGAGTTAGAGCGGTGGCGCCTGCGCCGGTGCCCGCCGCCGCCGGTGCGCCGGTAGGTGCCACCGGGGGAAGAGGTTAGGGGTGGCGGTCGTGGAGCCGAGGCGCGCTCCCCCACGGGTTCGACCGGGTGGCGGGTAGGGATGCTCATCGCTCGTTTGCTCCTGGCTTGGCCCTAGTTGTGCAATAGAGACATCCGCGAGTCCTGGACGCGTGGCGGAGGCCAAGGGAATGCATTTCTGCTGAGGAGTTGGGCGCGTAGCTGCCCCCGACGCTCTTGGAACTCCCATTTGGAGTCCTGTAGACTGAGACTTGTGCGAAATAAGGCCAGCTGGAGGGTAACCTTTACCGGGCTTGTGTATCTTAGCTCCTGCGTTGTATTGCGGCCTCAGAATTCCTTGGGTCCGGACAAGAGGAAGGGAAGCACAGAGCAGTATTGCGCTATAGGGCAAGAAAAAAGTACACAATCACAAGTCCGCTGTCCAGAGGAAAGCAAACAGTTTGGCTTTAGGTTTTTTGCATTAATTAATATTGTTCTGCTAGTGGAAAGTCTGGTAGGAAGACCCTCAGATCTTTCTATAACTCCAGAAAAGATCCCCCTGTACATGAGGTTTTGCATCTTTTTAATAATGTGTCTTTGAAGTGTAGTCGTAGCCGTACAAACAGATGCATCTCACACTTTGATGGCTCCGTTTGATGGGTGTTTGAGTTACTGTTGCTGTTACAACCGACGTAACACCGAATAGCTTTGAAGTTACTGCTCCTTTGGAAATTTAGTATGAAAATTGATAGCTATTTTAATACTGCCCTCCCCCCCAAAAAAGCGGATCTAGTTTATACACGTGGTAGGAATATATATGTTCATAGTCCTATATTTTTTCAACACAGAATATTAAGCTTTTTCCTAAAAACAATAATAAAATAGTATTCCTTCTTAATCTACATTTGGTTATAGTGAAGCTAGTCGTTTTAGGCTTTTATAGTTGTTAAAACTTTATATATTCTATAGATTATATATATTTTAAAGACTTACAACCCAGATCTTTATGTTTTGCAGCCCTTTTTTACTAGAGAGTTTTATTTTTGGTTTATTGTCTTTAGTTTTATAAAGACCTTTTAGTCATTCTTGAGAATGATTGTGAAGGTTTAACCTACTTAAAATATTGATGCTAGATTTTATTGCTAATTTTCAATGAATGCTTTCAAATCTTAAAATACAAGATAAATATAATGTATTTAGTGTTTATGACTTGAACATATGAAATTATAATTTGTATTTCATGTGTAAGTATAAAGCATAGTTCTGTGGTTATAATAGTAGAACCTAAAAGTGAGAATAAGGTTTTAGTCTCTGTTGATGAACTGCTTGGATGTGGCAATTGACTCAGAGGGACAGTCCAGCAAAGGACCACAAGTAATCATCTGACGTAAGTTTCAATTTTTAGAAAATCAGATTCTGGAATTAAAATGAAGCTCAGTCTTTTAAAATTTTCTTTATATGATTAAAGAAAATTGCATCACAATGAGAAATGTTTGCATCACAGCAACATCTTGTTCTCTTTACTATGTCTTACTGTCTTCTATTTTACATTTTCAGGTCGGAGAAACCCAACTGGGATTACCATGCTGAAATACAAGCATTTGGCCCTCGGTTACAGGAAACTTTTTCATTAGATCTTCTCAAAACTGCATTTGTTAATAGCTGCTATATTAAAAGCGAGGAGGCCAAACGCCAAAAACTCGGAATAGAGAAGGAAGCTGTTCTTCTGAACCTCAAAGATAATCAAGAACTCTCTGAACAAGGGGCATCTTTTTCACAGACATGCCTCACGCAGTTTTTTGAGGATGCGTTCCCAGACTTGCCCACTGAAGGCACTAGAAGTCTGGTTGACTATCTCACCAGTGAGGACGTGGTGTGTCACGTGGCCAGAAACTTAGCGGTGGAGCAGCTGACGCTGAGCGCAGACTTCCCTGTCCCCCCAGCTGTGTTACGGCAGACTTTCTTTGCCGTAATTGGAGCCTTGCTGCAGAGCAGCGGACCCGAGAGGACTGCACTCTTCATCAGGGTAGGTGATTGTTAGTTGCACATGCTGGCACATGCTTGAGGTAGAAAGAAAAATTTTTTGTACTTACTTCTTTGTGTTATGACCTTGGCAGGTTACATGTGAATTTTTCTCCTGATCCAAACTGAGAACGACCTAAAGCTTTTTATCAGTTCAGTTCAGTCACTCAGTCATGTCCGACTCTTTGCGACTCCATGGACTGCAGCATGCCAGGCCTCCCTGTCCATCATCAACTCCCAGAGTTTACTCAAACTTGTGTCCATTGAGTTGGTGATGCTATCCAGCCATCTCATCCTCTGTCGTCCCCTTCTCCTCCTGCCTTCAGTCTTTCCCAGCATCAGAGTCTTTTCCAAGGGGTCAGTTCTTTGCATCAGGTGGCCAAAGTATTGGAGTTTCAGGTTCAGCATTCAGTCTTTCCAATGAACACCCAGGACTGATCTCCTTTAGGATGGACTGGTTGGATCTCCTTGCAGTCCTTGGGGCTCTCAAGAGTCTCCTCCAACACCACAGTTCAAAAACATCAATTCTTTGGCGCTCAGCTTTCTTTATAGTCCAACTCTCACATCCATACATTACTATTGGAAAAACCATAGCCTTGACTAGACAGACCTTTGTTGGCAAAGTCTTGTCTCTGCCTTTTAATATGCTGTCTAGGTTCTTCATAACTTTTCTTCCAAGGAGCAAGCATCTTTTAATTTCATGGCTGCAGTCACCGTCTGCAGTGATTTTGGAGCCCCCCAAAATTGTCACTGTTTCCACTGTCTCCCCATCTATTTGCCATGAAGTGATGGGATCAAATGCCATGATCCTAGTTTTCTGAATGTTGAGCCTCAGGCCAGCTTTTTCACTCTCCTTTTCATCAAGAGGCTCTTTAGTTCCTCTTCGCTTTCTGGCATTAGACTGGTGTCATCGGCATATCTGAGGTTATTGATGCTTCTCCCTGCAATCTTGATTCTAGCTTGTAGTTCATCCAGCCCGGCATTTTGCATGATGTACTCTGCATGTAAATTAAATAAGCAGGGTGACATTATACAGCCTTGACGTACTCCTTTTCCTATTTGGAATCAGTTTCTTGTTCCATGTCCAGTTCTAACTGTTGCTCCCTGACCACAGATTTCTCAAGAGGCAGGTTAGGTGGTCTGGTATTCCCGTCTCCTTAAGAATTTTTGAGTTTGTTGTGATCCACACAGTCAAAGGCTTTTGCATAGTCAATAAAACTGAAGGAGATGTTTTTCTGGAACTCTCTTGCTTTTTCAATGATCCAACAGATGTTGGCAATGTGATCTCTGGTTCCTCTGCCTTTTCTTAAAAAAGCTTTTTATGATAGTATCATTATTATTCCAGTTGTCTCTTACTATTGAGGACAACATCAGAGGTGAATTAAATATTAAACTTAATGTTCACCTCATGGCAGGACCGCCAGCCATGTTTTTAGCTTTACATCCTGAGGGACAAGGGTAATGCCTGCACAGTAGACTCTCAGGTGTTTAGTGAGTGAAAGAGACCAAAGGACCTGGCCGGAAGGATGGCCGGAAGGTGTAGTGTGGCTTGAGAACTCCTTGCTTAAGTACCAGCTGTTGTTCTGCTCTTCTGAGTGATACAGTCTTGGATTTCTGAGTCCCTATTCTGGGCTTTGCTGGTGGCTCAGATGGTAAAGAATCCCCCTGCAATGTAGGAGACCCAGGTTTGATCCCTGGATCAGCATGACTACCCACTCCAGTATCCTTGGCTGGAAAATCCCATGGATAGAGGAGCCTGGCGGGATACAGTCCATGGGGCTACAAAGAGTTAGACACAACCGAGCGAGTAAGACTTGCATGATGTACACCTACTTCCTTGTTAGCCCATAGCTTGCCTAATTAAAATACTTAATTGGTGTGATTTAACTCCACTGTATTTTTAGAAGTTGTCAATTGAGAGAAGTTATATTCTTTGCTTTTGGATGAAAACATGAGTTTTTGGTCTTTTCTTACATAACGGATAGTCCAGGCAATCACTTTAAGTCACAAAAAGAGTCTTGATTCAGGCCTTTGAAATCAGGTGTTTTAAACCAGTATCCCTTACTGTTGGAATCTGTGTATTTAGTTTTGACACTAAGTTGATGTGATCATTTTGATCAAGAAGGACACTCGCATTAACCAGCACTCAGACTTCATTCATAGGTAAGGTCTCCCTTCCAACTTCCCAGCCAGGACTTATCTGTCTGTCTGTCTTATGGAAGCAGGTATGTTAACTGACACCTCTGGAGATGGAGCTGAGGGAAATACAGGAAAGGAAAGCAGAAGGTGTTTACTTGATTTGATGGCTAAAAGCTGGTTTAGTGCTTTCTGAGTCTGCTCACTGTTTAAAACAGACACTAGTGAGCATTTTGTTCCCAGCTGGAACCTTACAACCATGTACCTTCATGTGCGTGTCAGCTTCTAGTTTTCTGGATAGGGTTCCTTTCAAAATGACATCCGTGCTGTGAATTCCACCTCAGGTCTTAAGGATTTTTATACCCCTGACATCAGGTGCGGACTTTGGCCCCATTATTGCAGGTAACTTCTGCCAGACTGTTGCCTTAAGCAGGAGTATGTGTTGACTGTCAGTTGACTGAATGTCCATTGCCTCATATTCAGAGGCCAGGGGACCCTTTGAAGCCCTCTAGGCCTGAGGTGAAAAGGAAAGCCTTGCCTGCCCCCTCTTTCCCCTGCAATTGAATATTTTTTTCTAAAGAAATTGTAGCAAAATCCTCCCTTGACTTCCATTCTCTCCCAATCACTATAGCTTATATAGAGTCTTAGAACTGTCTAAACAATTTTTGGTCACCATTTTGAAATTTTCACAGGGTAGTCATGAGGACATTTTGGAAATACTTGTTTACCATATTTTAGTGCCTCTGTTGACAATTCCAATTATAGATCCTCATAGAGATAGATAATTCAAATATCTTATTTCTCAGTCAAGAGCTGTGACATCTGCCATAGTAGAACTGTGTTGGTGGTATAGTGGTGAGCACAGCCACTCTCCATAGTAGAACTGACTGGTTTGAATAGTCTTAATTTCATTCATTTACTCACCTAATATTTATTGTTTCCTGTGTACCAGGCACTGTGCCAAGCACTGGAACCAGAGTTTAATAGGCTTCAATCTTTGCTCACAGCTCATAGGCAGAGAGAGTAGAACGTGGACAGTGCCCTCAGGTATTGTAAGGTGTAGAGGGAGCTCAGAGGAGGCGACTAATTCCAGCAGGGTTAGGGAAGTTTTACAGAAGTGACATTTGCCCAAGAAGGTCATTCCAGGAAGAAACCTTGAGCAGCATATTCCCTTTGCTGTACAACATACCCTTATACTTTCCTTATTTTATGTTGAGTTGCCCAAAAAGTTTCTTTAGGTTATTCTGTCACATCTTATGGAAAACCCAAATGGACTTTTTTGGTCAACACAATACATAGTAGCTCATACCTCTTAATCGTGTTAAATTTTAAAATTTCTGTTAAAAGTAAACTTTGAATTATGGTCCTTATTTTCCTTATACTAATTTAAATGTATAAATTATGTTTTTACATGCAGGACTTCTTAATTACTCAAATGACGGGAAAAGAACTCTTTGAGATTTGGAAGATAATAAATCCCATGGGGCTACTGGTACAAGAACTGAAGAAAAGGAATATTTCAGTTCCTGAATCTAGACTCACTAGGCAGTCTGGAAGCACCACAGCTTTGCCTGTGTATTTTGTTGGCTTATACTGGTTAGTAAAATTTTAATCTTCATAATATTGATCAGAAGTCTTAAAAACTGACTTTTCACAATTCTTTAATAAATCTCGAATTGCATTAAAAGATTTTTTGAAAACTTCATTCCCTTGGTGATCTAGTCACTACTTCCTTTCCTGCTGGTCATCCTTAGGGGAAGGTAGATAATCTGTGGTTTGCTAATAGTAGCTTTTGTTAACCAACCATTCACTATAGAAATCTCATGGAGTATCCTGCTAATCTAAATATTTCTTTAGAAAAAATTTGACTTGTAATAGAGATTTAACCCCAGTCCACACTTGTAACCCTTCAACTGAGCCTAGAACTGAAAAAGAAACTGAACATTGTCCATCAAAATAAGTCAGCCCATGCTGAGAACTTTTAGGTTTCTTATTAACAGTTGACCTGGCTTAGGTTGATTTCAGGTGGATAGAAGTGTTAAGTGTAAAGTGTGAATATTTATAATGACTTTTAAAATTTAGGTAAATATTTTTCTGATTTTATATGATGTAGGACTTTGTAGGTATAAAAGCAGTAGAAGACATTGCAAAGGAGAAAATTGATGGTGTTGTAAGATGTTTCATCTTTAGTTTTAATTGAAGTGCAAAGCAAAATGAGATGCTCTTGCTTATCAGATTGGCAAGCCTTAAACGCATCCTTCATCAGCAGTTCATACACTGCTGGTAGAAAGAAAAGAAAAGGCACAATATTTCTGATAGTTTTGGTAAATATTGCTGCCAAAATTAGACCAGGGAAAACTGATCTGTGTGCTTTGTTTTATGATGCACCATGTAATTTCAGGCTTTTGTTGTGTTTTTTTTCCTAGTGATAAAAAGCTGATTGCAGAAGGCCCTGGGGAGACAGTACTGGTTGCAGAAGAAGAAGCTGCTCGAGTGGCACTTAGGAAACTTTACGGGTTCACTGAGAATCGCCGGCCCTGGGACTACTGTAGGCCCAAAGAGCCTGTGAGAGCAGAAAAGACCATCGCTGCCTGCTAGCCAGCCAGAGACGTGCAGCCTGAAACTTGTGAGCAAAATAGCGAGACGAACAAACGTCAAAAGATGATCCAAGCTGGATATTTTTTAAATTGTAAAGAAATGTGTCTTATTCCTCATACTGAGTTCCTAAAATTGAACAAGTATTCATCAGGTCATTTCTTTTATTTTCTTTTTAGTCATTTTTGTTCTGTCAGAAATCTTTTGATCTTTTGGTATTTTCCTGGTAAATTTTAACTCAAATTCTTGATCTTATTATTGTATTTAACTTGTACAGTTAGGTATATTTTATTCCCTTCTGACTTTGAAGTATCATAATTTGAATGTACGTTTTACATGAAGTTTGCTGTAATGCCTATTAAAAAAGTTATTCTTCTTGTATTTCATTGTAGCTTAATTTGATATATCCAGATTAGTGAACTCTGCCTCTCTAGTACAGTTTTAGCTAAAATAGTTATAACTCTTAACCTTTAGAAATGTAAGGTGCTGATTATAACAGTGAGGCATTTACGATAACTTAGGTGGCGACTACCGAGCTTGTGTCCTAGAGCCTGTGGTCCATGGTAAGAGAAGCCTAGGTTTAAAATTCTGTATGCAAGTTAATTTCATAGCTATTTAATTTCTGTAAAATGAATGGCAGGGGTGTACATTTTATGCTTTTAAAATAAAACATGAAGATCAAAAGCAGATTAAAACATTGAAGCTAATGGAAAAATAAAGTATGTATTTATTTATCAATTTAGTATTCCATGGGAGAAGGCAATGGCAACCCACTCCAGTACTCTTGCCTGGAAAATCCCATGGATGGAGGAGCCTGGTAGGCTGCAGTCCATGGGGTCACTAAGAGTTGGATACGATTGAGCAACTTCACTTTCACTTTTCACTTTCATGCATTGGAGAAGGAAATGGCAACCCACTCCAGTGTTCTTGCCTGCAGAATCCCAGGGACGGGGGAGCTGGTGGGCTGCCGTCTATGGGGTCGCACAGAGTCGGACACGACTGAAATGACTTAGCAGCAGCAGCAGTATTCCATAATCATAGCGAACATGTCCCAAGCATGGCTGTTAAATATCTTATTGTAACACCTTTGATTCAGTAGAAGACACATCTTAAGAGTGTGTCTTTCTGGTTCTTTAATCCTTTGTGTTCAATTCATTAATGTTCCTACTGCAAACTCCCTTTATTTCTTTTCAACTTTGTGGCAACAGTAATAATTTTCAGTTTCAGTCTGCCAGCAGTCACTCCCCAGAAGTTAACAAGAAAAGTGGGAGTTGAGAATAGCAAAGAGGTAATATGTTTAAACTGGTAACACTTTTTGCCATGAGATCTTTTTGTAAAGGAAGAGGAAGAGTCTTTGAAACTCCTAACCAGTCTCAGGCAAGCAGTTTCAAAGTGGACTTAATATCATCTAGGAGGACTTAGTGGAGGAAACGGCAACCCACTCCAGTATTCTTGCCTGGGAAATCCCATGGATGGAGGAGCCCAGTGGACTTCAGCGGTCGCAAAGGGTTGGATACGACTTGGCAACTAAACAAGGTGAAAAAAGAGGACTTAGAGCTATAACAGCTCACGCAGAGACTGCTTTTGAAGGGAAGTTTGAGAATTACCTAGCTGGCTGGATTAGTTAGGTTAAGTGTAAACTTCTTCACCTTTCTTTTGAGAGTAACTCCAACTCTTAATAATTCAGCACAGGGGTAGAGGACCAAACCCAATAGTGAAATGCTACCCTTACATGTATCATCCACAAGTAGACACATAAGCATCTCATTGACAACATAGGAAAGAGAGACTATGTAAAAATTTCTGGGAAGCAAAAGATGGTATGTATCCTCCAACCACTTCTCATCCAGCATGTGCTAGAGCAATGTTCTAATTTTACTTTAGTTGAATTTTTTTTTCCAAAAGTCTTTGGAGAGCTCAGTTGCAAACTGAATAATCCTTTCCTCCTCTGTACGTTCTACTGATCCATATCTCCTGCTCAGGGCAGTTTGCAAGACCGTAATCTACAAGTTTGGAGGGGAATTATCTTCACCCTTAGGTTTTTCAAGCTTCTAATCCTTGAATGCTTTTAGGGTTACACATGGAACAAGTCTAGCTCTCTAGTTCATAAAAACTACTTTCTACTGTAGCGTTAGTTGCTCAGTCGATTCCGACTTTGTGACCCCGTGGACTGTAGCCTGCCAGGCTCCTCTGTCCATGGAATTCTCCAGGCAAGAATACTGGGAGTGGGTAGTCAATGGCTTCTTGAGGGGATTTTTCTGACCCAGGGATTGAACCTGGTCTCCATTGCAGGCAGATTGTTTACCATCTGAAACACCAGAGAAGCCGGTACCTGTAAAAAGAACCAATTAAAATACCATGAACTAGAGTGTAGAAGACAGTTTATACACTCTGGCACTTCCATGTGAAATAGCTTGAAACCTGGGACCAACTTGAACGACCACTTAATTCGCTTTATGAGAGGAAGTGTTACAGAAGTTTGATGTGTGGGCAGGAGGAGTGTGTGGGTACAAGGGTACTGCCTAAAGGGCTGTGCCAGGAGCATCAGTGGCCGTCCCAGGACCCCTTTGAGACTGATGCCTAGTCCATGTTGGGAAGATAGTCGTTGCGACTGTGGGGAGTGGCTCAGATAGGAGAGCACCGATTCGACCTTTGTACCGGAGAAAGACGTTGAAGTCATTTACTTTGAAATTCTGACGCTCCCATCCTCCAGTTTCCTCAGTCCCCCAAAAGTTCCTTATCCGAAAGTGTAAATTGATGTCTATAGACTCAATTATCTAAGCGTTATTCTTTTTTACTGTAGTTCATATTATGTTGTTATATGCATATATAAAATAAGGCATATTATTCTCAAAAGTGTTTTATGTGGCTTTAAGTGAAATATTAGTAAAAACTATCCCTGCAACTAGACATTATAGTAAGTGAAGTAAGTCAGAAAAAATAGCATAGTATCACTTATATGTGGAATCCAAAATACGGCACAAATGAACGTAATTATGAAACAGACTCAGATAAAGAGAACTGTGGTTGCCAGTGGGGATGGGAGAGGAATGGACTGGGACTTCTATATTGCATATCGAATCGATAAACAAGAATATGAAGCAAAAAAAAATACCCCCCCCCCAACTATTATCCTAGTTAGGAATGAAACAAGGCTATTTTTTTAGTGTTCAGCATGTTAGGGATTTTGGCCACAAGATGGTGCTCTAACCCTACTTCTCAGTGAAGTATGCGTGGCATGCAAAGTAACATTGGGGGATCACTTTTCTCCCTAAATGGGAAAGATTGATTACATAGAATTATAGCGAAATATGACTTCTAGACCTCTTACAGCTCTCTTCTGCAGGCTCACCTTTTCTCCCCTCAGGATGTAAGGTTAGGAATTTCACATATGAGCAATTCACTTCTGATGAATGAGCCAATGTTTGGACCTCGTTTTATCTTTACTAGAAAGAGTGAAAATTTAAGGGTTGTCATAGATAATACGTAGAAAAGACCTTTTTTTTTTTTTGGCCCCTTCTTGTTATTCTTTCCTCCTCTTTTCTATGATGGAAGAAAATGCACTGCAGAGCCAAGGGACACTGTGCATCTTGGCACTTAATAAAACCAGATGTGGCCATCCTTCTCGGGGATGGGGGCCGGGTGGGGTCCAGCTCACAGCTTTCCCCCAGCTGCAGGCAGCCCCTTGAGGATGCCTGTCCGGCAGCATGCTGCACACCTCTGCTCTCCCCTTCAGCAGATCCCCGCGTCTTCTCTCGGTGAAGCCCTCTAGCATGGTCGCTTGACCCTAGAGCCATGGTTCACAACTTCTGTTGCTTCTCAGAGCATTTGAAAGCCACAGTTCTTTCTGGGATACCAAGGCTGATTGCTATACTGAATTGAATCTTGCAAACTGAGGACAATTTTTCCAAGAAAAAAATGCATGCTGTCAAAAATCACAACCACAAGCACACAGGCTTCTGAAAGAAGCAAGCTTTCTTGGCATTAGTAGTATCTGTGCTTCCCACTCAGTGTTCATTGGCTCTTGTTCAATCACCTGGCTGCTTGTTAGTTCTCACTAACGACCAAAGAGTAAGGATTTTAAGAAAATTTTTTGAGATGGAGAAAATTGAATACGTTAGTTTATTCCCCTTCAATTGAGGAGGAACCCATTATTTGATTATTCAGTGAACACCTTTTTATTTTCTTTTTTTCCATTTATTTTTATTAGTTGGAGGCTAATTACTTTACAATATTGTAGTGGTTTTTTCATACATTGACATGAATCAGCCATGGATATACATGTATTCCCCATCCTGATCCCCCCTCCCGCCTCCCTCTCTACCCAATCCCTCTGGGTCTTCCCAGTGCACCAGGCCTGAGCACTTGTCTCATGCATCTAACCTGGGCTGGTGATCTGTTTCATCCTAAATAGTATACATGTTTCGATGCTGTTCTCTCGAAACATCCCCCCCTCGCCTTCTCCCACAGAGTCCAAAAGTCTGTTCTGTATATCTGTGTCTCGGGTGGCAATCCCACTTCTGGGCATACACACCGAGGAAACCAGATCTGAAAGAGACACGTGCACCCCAATGTTCATCGCAGCACTGTTTATAATAGCCAGGACATGGAAGCAACCTAGATGCCCATCAGCAGACGAATGGATAAGGAAGCTGTGGTACATACACACCATGGAATATTACTCAGCCATTAAAAAGAATTCATTTGAATCAGTTCTAATGAGATGGATGAAAATGAACACCTTTTTAACCAATCTGTTGTGTGGTAAAATTGCACAGTGAATGTGTGACTTTATTTTAATGAGTTCTGCAGAAGAGAAATGAGGACATTGTCAGCTGGAGGACATTTCCAGTCAGACGAGAAAGGTCTATCTGACTCTCTGATGACACTTCCTTTACATAAACTATTGGTATCAGCGTCTCCACAGCAAAACAATATGTCAGTAAGAAAGATTTATCAGCAGATGATACAGTTAATGAGGCAAATGCAGTCAAAACTCAGCACAACCCTCAGACTAACAACAATGATCACTGTTAGGTCAGGCTCCTGACAACCTGCCACGCAGGTTTTGATCCTGGGATTGCTTTTTGTCTAAGAGGGACAAGCACAAAAGCCTACTTGTCTTCTCTTTACCTTCTGCAGCTGGGATTATAAAGTTTTTTGTTATTTTTTATTAAACTTTTTTTCTAATGTGGACCATTTTAAAGTCTTTATTGAACTTGTTCATAATTATGTTTTGGTTTTTTGGCCACAAGGCATATGGGGTCTTAGTTCCTCAATCAGGGATTGAACCCACACCCTCTGCGTTAGAAGGCAAAGTCTTAATCACTGGACCACCAGGGAAGACCCAGGATTACAAACTTTGGATGAAAGAGGTAGAGCATTAAGGAGTTTAAAAATTTATTTACATTTTGCTACCTCATATACAATAACCTGCAAGCAATGATGTACCTGGCATTGTGTAGTGGTTTCTTGTTTAGCAAATTCCTCCTTTAAATCACAACTGCATCCTTTTTTCTTCAGGATTTCAGTGAATGTCAGAGGTGCAGTTTGGGGAATCTTAAAAGAAACGGAGCTTAGCCAGCGGTGTTGTCCACTCTTTGGCTACCCAAAGTGGACTCTTGGTAGGACACAGTGTCTTTCTGCATCACAGGAGGTCAAGGACACAGCAATTGGCCATCAGCTTACAAAAAACCTCACCTCTCCCAGGGAGTCACCACCAATCACATCTACTTGGCCCGTTCCCAGCAAACTCCACCCTTCCTCCTTCAGTTTTTTAGGTCTCTTAGTGAAGAGCTCAGGTGTTCTTCCGTTTTTAATTTTCGGAAAAACAAAGAGCTACAGGGACAAAAGCTACCCCTTTGTGTCTTTATGTAAAGTTCTCTTACGACTGGCATTTTTTTCAAGTCATCTGTCATTATTTCCTTTTCAGGACAAAGACTCAGGCCGACAAGACAGCGCTTTCAACTTACTTGGGTCAGTGCCCACTCTTTTTTCCACTGTGTCTCAGGTGAATTGAAATCCGCATCTCATTAAGTGTCCAAGGAGTGAGTTTACTGGCTGTTGATCTCCGCTTTTCCATAAGTTTACCATTTTGTGACCTTAGGGAAATCTCAGCCAGTCTCCTGTCCAACCTCAATGTAACATCTAATCCACATAAGAATTGTTTGCTCAAATATCTACATAGCAAATAAAGATTCTGATACCCAATTCCAGCTTGTCCGGGGGTTTTCCCTACACCAGCTGCGTGTCCTACAATTCAACTCAATTTCAACACTACCTACCTGGAGAGAGCATCAGGTTCCATAGATTAAGGACTCATAAGTTCCACTTTATGCGCCAACTGGAAGCTCAGGTTGTTACCTGTGCCTCTGACCCACTGGCTATAAATCAGAGGTTTCCATGACCCTTCCTTGGGTTCAATAAATTTGCTAGAGCAGCTCACAGAATGCAGGGGAGTATTTCATTTACTAGATTACTGGTTTCTTATAGGAGGACATAACTCAGGGACAGCCAGATGGAAGAGATCAATAGGGCAAGGGCTGAGGGAAGGGCAAGGGTAAGGAGTTTTCAAGGAGCATGCTGCCCTCCCTGTATCTCAACTGTTGAGTTCACCAATCCAGGAGCTCTGCAGGCCGTCATCTTGGGTTTTCACAGAGACTTCATTTCATAGCCTGCTGCTGTTGCGTGGCTAAGTCGGGTCTGACTCTTGGCGACCCCATGGACTGTAGCCCACCAGGCTCCTCTGTTCAGGGGATTTCCCAGGCAAGAATGGAGTGGGCTGCCATTTCCTTTTCCAGGGGATCTTTCTGATCCAGGGATTGAACTCGCATCTCCTGCATTGGCAGACAGATTCTTTACCACTGAGCCACCTGGCTTCATAAGCATGATTGGTGAAATCATTGGCCATCAGTGACTGATAGAACCGCTAGCCAGCCCCCCAACCCCAGAGGTTGGGGTGTGGGGCCCCCGAACCACATGGTTTGTATTCCTGGTGACCAGTCCCCATCCTTGGGAGCTGCAAGTTACCTTAACATATTAACATAACAAAAGACACCTTTATTGTGCTCCTCACTTAAGACATTCCAAGAGTTTGCGGAGTTCTGTGCCAGAAGCTGGGATGAGGAACAAATACTGTATATATATATTTTTATTATAAATCACATCACCACAGCAAATATAATCTTTTACCCGAGGTCTGTCATATTTGTGGCAATCTCCATATTTTAAATTTATTCCAGTTTCCTTCAAAGTGTTCATAAATGTTATCATTTTGAAGGCAAGGCCTTCAGACCTACTAAGTGTATCAAAAGATAAAAGTTGAATTTTAGAAAAATAATTTGATGAACTTTCCCCCTAAATCCAGGAATTATAAACAAGGTTTACGAATCAGCTCCCTGGGCTGGGATGATCCCCGGGAGAAGGGCATGGCAGCCCACTCCAGTATTCTTGCCTGGAGAATCCCCATGGACAGAGGCGCCTGGAGGGCCTGTAGTCCATGGGGTCACAAGAATCGGACATGACTGAGCGACTAAGCACAAACACGAGTCAGCCAGGATCAAAACTGGGTATTGACTGATGAATATAAAAAAAGTTAATAGAAACTGCAGAAGAAACTGGAGGCCAGAAGGGGGAGCTCCCACACCTGTGAAAGATGAACCCAACAAGGAAAAGACAGACTTTTTGTACCAGGCAAGGAAGAACTCGGCCTGTGGGAAGACATGAACCCTTTTCTATCACAGCTCTCAACTTCCTGTTCTGTATAAAAGCATTTCCTTCTCTTGCCATGGGGGTAGATAGTACTCCTCTCACTATAGTTGCATATCCCAAATTGTAATTCTCTGCTTATCCTGAATAAACCCATCTTTGCTGAAGAAATACCTGGCATTCTACATGTTTTAGGCCAACAGGAGGAAGGGCTAAAGATGAGTTTAAGTTGAGCAGATCAAATGAAAGAGAGAGGATATACAGATACATATGGGCTTCCCCCATGGCTCAGAGGGTAAAGAATCTGCCCACGGGCAGGAAACATGGATTCAAAGCCTGGGTCAGGAAGATCCCCTGGAGGAGAAAAATGGCAACCCATTCCAGTATTCTTGACTGAAAAAAATCCCATGGACAGAGGAGCCTGGTGGGTTACAGTTCACAGGCTCGCAAAGAGTCAGAGACAACTGAGAAACAAAATACATACTCATAGATATATATAGCCTGAGACCCTTGGTGTTATGAACCTTCCATGTTCATAACTTCCATGTTCAAAACTTCCATGTTCCAAGTTTTATATATCATAAATTTGAAACATTAAAATATTTTGAAGAGGCATTCAGAAATGAGACCAGATACTGCCAAATTTAACATGCCCAGTAAAATCTGACTAATTTACTGGGGAGCAGACTGCCTGTATTACATAACGGGGCCTCTACATTGACAAGACAAACTCTTTTGGTCCTTTCTGGAATGAGAAGTGCAAAGTCGAGTCTTAGTGTTGCAGGCACTTTTATATCTTCCTGGACTAACGAGCACTTGGTCCTACTTCCTTATCTTAAATATACACTTGCAATAGTTAAAAGACTTTTCTAGGCTAAGATTCTCTCACCCTTCTAAAATCAAGCCACTTAGGGAATGGACATATTTATCTTTGTACTGCCTGGTACTTGGTACCCAGCAGGAATACAAATGAATGAATGAAGTATATAATTCTCAAATTACTACTAACATTATACCTTTTTAAAACTATTCAAAATAACTGGATGGGATCAGAAAATTGAACACCAGTAAAACTAAAAGGCTTTTGTAACTATACTAGCATGTTTGCTAGAATACAAGTGGTCTCATGTAACCATTCAAATTAATTCTTTGGCATTTACACTTAAATCAGGAAAACAATTGTCCCCTTGCTCCCTTCTCTCTTGGTTAATAATCAAGGTGGTTGTTGTTCAGTTGCTGAGTCACATCTGATTCTTTACAACCCCATGGACCGTAGCTAGAGAATACTAGGGAAGTTTGCCATTTCCTTCTCCAGGGGATCTACCCAAACCAAGGGATCGAACCCGCGTCTCCTGCTTGGCAGGTGGATTCTTTACCTCTGAACCACCTGGAAGCCCTGACAATCAAGGTATCCACATTTAAATAGTTGCAAACAGCAAGGCTCAGTCTATCTGACAAATAATTGTAAACAACAAACTGGTGAAGAGTTGAACATGAGGTTTTAACGTACAAGCAGAGGAATAGAGCTAATGGGTTTTTTAAAAAGTAGTTTTTGATAACTACTATTCTTACAAACTATTTTTACTTAGAATACAAACTATTCTTATTTAGATAAGGGTACCCAAATCTCTAGAAAATTAATAAAACAGATAAAATAAAAATGGTAAACTTAGAATTGTGATGAGTTCTCCAAAACACAAAAGACAAAAAAAATCCCACAAAAACTTGCTTTGAAAAACAAGCATTCTAGCCTATCATCAAAAATGAAACCACCACTGTTCGCCGGGTAACTTCTTTCTGCTCTTGCTACCAAACCCCTCCCTACCTTTGCTGGGAAACCTCAGCCCTGGCCTGAGGAACCCTATCTGAAATTAGAGACAGGATTTCTCTGTGACAGAAGTTCCCCTGAACTGATGCTTTTGAACTGTGGTGTTGGAGAAGACTCTTGAGAGTCCCTTGAACTGCAAGATCAAACAAGTCAATCCTAAAGGAAATCAGTCCTGAATATTCATTGGAAGGACTGATGCTGAAGCTAAAGTTTAAATACTTTGGCCATCTGATGTGAAGAACCGACTCCTCATAAAAGACACTGATGCTGGGAAAGATGGAAAGCAGAAGGGGATGACAGAGGATGAGATGGTTGGATGGCATCACCGACTCAATGGACATGAGCTTGAGCAAGCTGCAGGAGTTGGTGATGGACAGGGAGGCCTGGCGTGCTGCAGTCCATGGGGTCGCAAAGAGTCAGACACGACTGAGTGACTAAACTGTGGGTGCTGTGCTAAGTCACTCAGTTGCATCTGACTCTTTGCAACCCCACGGACCATAGCCTGCCAGGCTCTTCTGTCCATAGAATTCTTCAATCAAGAATATTGGAGTGGGTTGCTATGCCCTCCTCCAGGGGATCTTCTCGACCCAGGGATTGAACTCAGGTCTCTTGTTTCTCCTGTGCTGGAACGGAGATTTGGGGAGGTGCTGGCGTCAGGGTTTTTTTTGCTGTTTGCCTAAGTGCAAAGGTTTATTAGAAGAGGTTCCTGCTGCTGCTGCTAAGTTGTTTCAGTCGAGTCCGACTCTGTGCGACCCCACAGACGGCAGCCCACCAGGCTCCTCCATCCATGGGATTTTCTAGGCAAGAGTACTGGAGTGGGGTGCCATTGCCTTCTCTGAGAAGAGGCTGAGGTATTTTTAAAAGGCTGTTTCTTTTGTTGTATTTTCAAATAGCAGAGAAATAGCTTTTCCTTCTTCTTCTTTTTTTTTACTACTCATAACACTTTATTTTTACTTTGTACAAAATACAAAAATGCAAATCCAAAGAGTACAGACCAGTAGTGACAGGCACACTGCACAACAGCAAACCTTGTCTAGCAAGACATTAGTTTTTTCAACTTTATTTTAGTGGATACATGCATTATATAAAATAACAACAACAACAAAAACACACAAAGAGGCTAAAGATGTCACTATTTCTACCCCCAAAGTAATGCAAGATTACTTTCAAGACTTTGGATGAGACCAAAAAAATTTTTAAAAGGCCAATAATATTTTTTTCATATAAAAGTAAAAGCTACCATAAAATGTCCTTTTTTCCCCTCCCCCATCACACTGACTAAATTTTTCTGAAAAGCCACACATATAAACAAAACAAAACAAAAATCCTGAACTGGACAGTAAATACTCAAGAGGGTTGTTAACCTAGGTGACCGCTCAGTAGTTTAAAGAATCTTTTAGACATTTTGAAGCCTTCCTCTTCATTTCTCAGTACAGTGTTCCACCATCCTGCCCTTTTCCCCCTTAAGACTTCCCAGAACAGAAATGCTGCATCATTGAGTCTCTGAACCTAAGAACTAGTTTTGAAAAAGAAAGTCATGTACAAAAATATTTAACAGAACTAGGAAAGATGTAGGAAAGAAGTCTTTTCTTCATAGCAAAGTAGTCTTTGCTTTGCATGGTTCCTTCCATATATTCTTCAAGGTTTGTTTATCTGCCCCATGAATAAGACAGCACCTAGAGAATTAAAAGGAAACAATGCATAATTCTAGTCTTTCAGATAAGATGGAAGGTATATCTAAGGGGAGGTTTCTGGGCTGTCCTTAACCCCACTGCTCTTAAGCAATGCTATCCAATGGAACTTTCTGCAGTGATGGGAGTGGTCTGCATCTTCATTGTCCAATATGGTAGCCACTGGTCACGTGTGGCTATGGAGCCTCTGAAATGTGGTTTAAGAAACTGAATTTTAAATTACATTTCAATTGTTGTTGTTTAGTCATGAAGTCATGTCCGACTCTTTTGCAACCCATGGACTGCAGCCTGCCAGGCTCCTCTGTCCATGGGATTTCCCAGGCAAGAATACTGGAGTGGGTTGCCACTTCCTTCTCCATGGGATCTTCCCAACCCAGGGATCGAACCTAAGTCTCCTGCATTGGCAGGTGGATTCTTTACCACTGAGCCACCTGGGAAGCCCTTCATTTTAATTAAAGTTAAAAAGCTAAGTCTCACATGTGGCTAGAGGCTCCCGTTTGGACTGTTTGGCTCAGGAGCACACTAATTATAATGATTAAGATGCAGTGAGATAAAAGGATAGGAGGCAGCTTAGGTTATAGTTCAAAAGCAGAGTAAAAGCTAGAATATGTTAGTTTCTACTCTGCACCAACATGAAGACAACCTCTTTACAAAGACAGTCTTAATTATTCTTCATAACTGTACTAAGAGGTAGGAATTACTGTTATTCTAATTTTACAGATGAAACTAAAAGACAGAGCCAACTTTGAACCCATGACTCACGGAACTAAGACTGACTGAACTAACGATTCTCAGGTCATAACAGCAGGGTGTCCTTACAAAGGTTGAAGACATGTAGCTTCCTGAAAAATTTACCTAATTGAATTTATTAAAAAAAAAAAAAAGTCAGCAGATGTCAAAAAGCCCCAAAGGACTGCAGAGCTCTTCAGGTGTTAAAAAAAACAACAACAAAGAGACAAAACCTAAAATCCCGTGTTTGAGAGATGCCATCACACTGTGTAAAAACAGTCTGATTCTCCTTTCTCTGCAAAGGGGGCAGTTACATGACTCAAAGCGTTGGCACTTGTTGACACATGGGAGGATTCAAAGCTGCACTGCTGGAGTTAACCCACAGCTGGTGAACAATGGGAGAGGACAATCACTCACCTGTAGGATTATGTCGGATGAAAAACAGAAAAGGTCTGTCTACTATAAACCAGGGAGGCGATGACCTTGCAATCAGAATCGCAGCTGTGGGAGGAAAAGGAAAACCCATTGTATACCCAGCATGAGGCCAGCCAAGGCAGCATGTAATTCAAGGCAGGACATCATTCCTGTCCCAGAGGCTGGCCGTGAAACAACAGGCCCTGTGGTCACCGCTGACAGCACAGCCCCCATGGGCCAGGCCCTTTCCAATCCGCCTCATTTAGTTCACACAAGCCCATCTTCTTTAAAAAACACGCTTACTCCAGGTAGCGCTCTTATGAGGATGAACCGAAACACACTACAGGTCTTAGAACAATGTGTGTGTATGTGCTCAGTCGCTCAGTTGTGTCTGACTCTGCAACCCCATGGACTGCAGCCCATCAGGCTCCTCTGTCCATGCGATTTCCCAGGCAAGAATACTGGAGTGGGTTGCCATTTCCTCCTCCAGGGGATCTTCCAGACCCAGGGATCGAACCTGTGTGTCTTGCATCTCCTGTATAGGCAGGTGGGTTCTTTAACAGTGTTTGCCACTTAAGAAGCACCCAACACATATTCACTGTTACTATTAACTGCATTTCATTCATACCATCTACCTAGCTAAGGCCTGGCACCTGGTCCTTCTGGCCTATCCAAATCCTTTCCCAGTACTAAGGACCAGCTCACTTCTCATCCATTTTGTCTGTGCCTTCTCCTTTGGGCTCATCATCTATACTTTCTTCGCATTGGCAGTGTAGACTGCTCATCTGGGGCCTACTATCTGACGTTGCTGTTCTAGTGCGGACACTGGAAGCAAACATATCTATGCTTATGGTCTTAGATACGTTTTCTCTGCCCTGTTTCCCAATGGTAGCTTTCATCTAATAAGCCAGTGATAAGGCCTTGCAGAAGGGCAGTGGCCTGGCATAACTGCCCCATGCTTGCTGCGATGGCCTAGTCTTCTTCCTCAAGCCCCCGGGAAGCTTTAATGACTTGGGCTTGACGTTGTAAGGGAAACAGCTACAGCTATGCTTGGACAAACCGCTCAACCTAGGGTTATTACAATTAAATCAAAAGTCAGCAAGAGAAATGGACTGAACTGTATCCCTCAAAATCAGTCTGCTGAATCCCTAGCCCCAAGTGTGACTGTGTTCGCAGACAGGGCCTTTAGGGAATCTTTAAGTTTATTTCATTTTCAAATTTTTAAATTTGATTTTGGCTGTGCTGGGTCTTCGCTGCTGCACGGGTTGTTCTCTAGTTGCGATACGCAGGCTTCTCGTGGTGGTGGCTTCTGTTTTTGTGGAGCACGGGCTCCAGGGCACGGGGCCTCAGTGGGCTCGGCTCCCTGGGCTCCAGGGCACAGGCTCAGGAGTTGAGGCGCACGGCCTTAGTGGCTCCATGACACGTGGGATCTTCCCAGATCAGGGATCAAATCTGTGTCTCCTGCACCGGCAGGCGGATCCTTTACTACTGGAGCCACAAGAGAAGCCCCAGGAAGGCTTTCAGTTTAAATGAGGCCCTGAAGGCAGGGCTCGAATCCAACAGGACTGGTGTCCTTATAGGAAGAGAGGGAGAGGCCAGGGCTGTGAACACACAGGAAAGGCCGTGGGGGACACAGCGAGCAGGTGGCCGTCTGCAAGCCAAGGAGAGAGGCCTCGGGAGACACCAATCTTGACAACACCTTGATACTGGACTTCTGCCTCCAGAAATGAGAAGTACATTTCTGTTGCTTAAGCCACCTACTCTGGGGCAGCTTGCCATGGCAGTCCTGGCAGACTAACACAGCAAAGCTGGCTTCAAGGGCATGTGACCTGGGCAGGCATAAGACCCCACACTCACAGTGGGCCTACACTTGGTCTAGTGCTTCGTGGATGCTGACTTGAAAAAAATTTTTTTTTTAATATTATTTACTTATTTGACTGTACTGGGTCATAGTTGTGGCATGCAGGATCTTTAGTTGTGGCATGTGGGGTCTAGTTCCCTGATGAGGGATCGAACCCAGGCCCCCTGCACTGGGAGCGCAGTCTTAGCCACTGGACCACCAGGGAAGTCCTTGAAATTCTTAGTGAGTTTTGAACAAAAGGCTCCATGTTTTCATTTAGCACAGGGCCCTGCAACTTCCATAGGCGGTCCCGATAGTACTAATTGGCAACACTGCTCAATAACTTTGGCAAAATTTAGACGTCATTTTCTAGCTCTTTGTTTTAAATGCTATTTTAAGGAAATAAAAATTAAATGTTTATTCTAGAAAGGCAATAAAGGGTCTATTTTGAGTACAAGTGGTACATTTTAATGACCAGAAATATTTGACCCAGTTACAAGGAAAGCTAAGACAGTCATTTTATGAGTTCACAGAGTTTGGCCAGATCTGTTCATCCAATCTCATATGGATAATCAGGGGGTACAAAAACCAACCTAAGACTGTTCTGTTTTCTCCTTCATTATATGAGTCATTGAAGAGAAAGCAAATGGGGAAGTTCTAATTATCGAGGAAGGCTGTGGAGCAATCCTGCCAGAATTCAACAGTTGCTTGCTAATTCTTCACTTGGTCCTGGATAGACTCGATTGGCTATTTTCCTATTAGTGGTTGCTAGTATTTTGTGTTTCAATATGAAGATGGGGCTTTTCTGCCAATAAGAAGCCACAATATGCTTGATCTGTCTGACAGTGGGGGCGGGGGGTGTCAGTTAACCACCATCCTTAGGTCAAGTCTGAGGGGTCCTGTATTTAGGAAGAAAGATGTATTAGAACACAGCCGTGCCCATTTGCTTGTATAGTCAGTCTATTCTGCTTTCACACTGCAAAGGCAGAGCTGAGAAGTGGAGAGAGAGCCTGTACAATTACTTCTCTCACCCAGCTCTTGACAGCTCTTGACAGGAAAGGTCTGCTGACTCCTGTCCTGGAGGAATTTCTACTGAAGTACTTTCTGTCATGTAACAGACCCTGAGCTTCATGGATGCGAATTTTCCCAAATTCACCACTGTCTCCCAAGGGTCAGCCCACAGCGCCTGGCTAGAAATGCGGCTCAAGACACAGTAGCTGGGTTGATGAAGGGACCAGGTGTGCTTGCTCCCGGCCCCGAGACCCAGGGCTTACTCACTTGTTGCTGCTGAAGCTTTGGTTCCATCTTCACTGACTTCGATTTTTGCTTTTTGCAAGATGTGAGAAACATGAAGGTTTTCTGACCCTGTTTCCAGAAAATAAAACAGAAACAGCATTTGCTTGATATGTAGGCCGCTGGGTTGGGTGAGAGAAGTAATCTTGAAGCCAGGACAAGTTTCAGTCCTTAAAAGGTGTTAGGAAAGGGTGGGACGGATCGAGATAGTAGCATGGAAACATATACATTACCATATGTAAAATAGATGGCCAGTTCGACACGCAGGAAGCTCAAATCATGACAACCTAGAGGGATGGCATGGGGTGGGAGGGGTTTCCAGAGGGAGGGATATATGTATACCTATGGCTGATGCATGTTGATGGATGGCAGAAACCAAGACAATATTGTAAAGCAATTATCCTTCAATTAAAAATAAATAAATTAAAAACAAAAAAGTGTCAGAAGAAGTGACTTCTGACAGTCCCCGTGATGGAAGGGTGTAGGATGACTGTCACTGTGGTGAATTTCAGTCTCTGCTATGTGAACTATGACATCACTTCACCGCAGGGAGTCCAGGACCCCCAAGTGTGTTAATGCCTGTGTCGGTTCAACTCCGATCACTGAAGAATTTTATTAAAAAAAATAAAAAGAGGGGAGCTTTAAAAAGGTAACCTAGTTTTCTGGAAGAAGCAAGTCAACAGTATTACTTTTCAATTACAGAATCTCAGATCCAGAAAAAACACGGCACTTAAACAAGAGGAACCTGTGGCCCAGAGTGTTAAGAAACTGTCCCCCAGTCCCATGGCTCATTGGTGGCAGAGTAAGAGCCGTCTTTTCCTAACAGAAGTCCCTCACTTCAGGGCAGAGTAGTGACCGATGAGGAGGAGCCTGGCTCAGAACTGCAGCCAGGCCCCTGGGACCTTCTACTGAACACCCTTTCCTTCTCAGCAGATCTCACCATTCCAGCAACACCTACTGGAGTCAGCATTTGAGGAGGATGCAAACAGAAGTTATCGTTGACCCTGATGGGACACAGGTCTGGTGTGAAGGGAGAAAAGTGCTTTTTGGGTCATCTGCTTTTAAATCATCTGCACTGGTGGTCGGCTCTCATGTGACTGACTGTGAATGAGAGACGCGTTTCCAGGGCCCTCATCACCTGCGCACAGTTAAACAGAACGTCTCAGGAGACGTTCTGGCAGCTGCTCCTCCCTCAGAACACCTGTGAACACCCTGTCACAAGTATCTAGTATTTAAGCTATGACGCCGGATCCTGAAGGGGAAAGTGCAGGGTAAAACAGAACTTCCCAGGCTTCACTGGGATGAGGAACCTTGTTCAGGTGAAGATGCTGAGTCAGCAGGTCTGAGTCAGACCCATGATGGTGAATTTCAGACAAGGAGATGCTAATGCAGCTGGATAAGGGAAGAGAGTTTGGTTAACATGGGATGAGAGTCTCAGAATATCTATGGAGCTGCAGTTTTACCAGGGGAGTCGCGTTAGTCCCCACGACAGGTACCCACGTGTTCACTAACAGGCAACTGAGGTTGGTACTGAACTATTCTCTTATCACTCAAGGGGAAAAGTACAAAATGGAGCACAAATAATGTTTAAGCCTTGTCTGTGGAAGAAGGTGGCTGTGCTATCAATTAAAAAGACAAAGGGCCATCCATTGAGATATGACTCTAGGGGAAAAAAATTACATGTAACTGGCAAATGAAGGGATATCATACCAGCTGTGTCCTAGATGGTTTGGCAAAGGCAATTAATCAGGCTCCTTTGAATTTATATTTCAGATTAATGGGCTTGAGATGCCAAAATCCTATTTGCACATACTGGCATCTGCAGTGGTTTGGTGGAAGTTAAGCCAGTTGAGAGTGTAAACATTCTTGACCTTGAAAATTTGAAAATACAGGGTAAAATTGTGCCTTTGTAAAAAGAAGAGACTAATATCTAATTAAGAGCCAGATTTTTAGGTAATGGAAACAATACATGAAATGTTTCTTTAAATGCATGCAGTCACGTAGGTTTCCCATGAAATATACATAGGAAATGCGGTGATGACGGCTCAGTAGCATCATTTGTCGAGGCATCCAATGAAACCCTGAAGAGTTTTACAGCAACACATTCCTAATGTTGACCTTTTCTTTCTGAACAAATCAGAAACTTGGTTTATAACATACTGTTCAAGTCTAAGAGCAAGTTTTAAATTGAACATACTTGTTATTTTTGCAAAATTCGCCTTTGATGGATCAAACATATCAGTGATGCCGAGGACTTTCAGCGGCTCCTTCAAATCTGTTTGAGCTACAGCTGTGAACCTAGCACAAAAGGAGAAAACAGAGGGAAAATCATTATAAATGATACAAAATGATATAATCAATGCCAGTGGAAAAAAATTGTTTACAGACATGTTTTTAAATGTATCCTCTGAACAGTCATATCTTAAATTTTAACTCCAAGATTTAAGTACCAGATAAGTAGAGAACAACCCAACTCTCAAACATATACATGGCAAAACGGAACAGTAACGGCAAGTGGGGGGTCCTCACCCTCGTGGGCAACAGGCTCCCCATTCCAGCCCAAGGAAGAGCTACGGAAGTACTTTCTCTTATGCTGAATGGGGAGATGCAGGGTTGCAATAGGAAAGAATCTCTGTATTCTCTTACAAGTTAATTGCTAAAGGGATGTTGCCTTTAAGCTTAAATTATACCTACTGGCCCATCTCTGGGAACCCTGCCTCCCAGGTAATCAGCATTAAGCTAAGATACTTTTGTTTAGCTCATAGGAAATAGGCCAGGCCCACCCGCGAATGATTGCAGGGAGGAAGAAATTGACACATCCCCTCTGGAGACTGATGGAAACCAGGAAATGTTCCACTTTACTCCCTCCCCTTTCAGTATTAAAGAAGCCTGAATTCTAATTCAGGCAAGATGGTTCTTTGGGACACTGGTCCACCATCTTCACAGTCTGCTGGCTTTCTGAATAAAGTCGCTATTCCTTGCCCCAGCAACTCATCTCTCTCTCTCTCTTCCCTTTCTTTTAGAATATTTATTTATTTGGCTGCTCCAGGTCTTAGCCACGGCACTCGGGATCTTTGATCTTTGTTGCGGCATGTGGGATCTTTAGTTGTGGAATGTGGGACCTAGTTCCCTGACCGGGGATTGAACCCAGGCCCCTTGCATTGGGAGAAGGAAGTCTTAGCTACTGGACCACCAGGGAAGTCCCAGCAACTCATCTCTTTATTGCTTGCTCGATGAGCAGTAGACTTGGTAACAGGGTATTGACAAGTGTTCAGTATTCTACAGTCTATCCCCGGATCCAACCACAGAACCACCATCGTTATTGGGATTGTGGATGGTCAAAGGAAGGAGATACATTCCTGCTAGTTAAGTGTTTGCATTCTGGAAGCATTTTACCATTAAAACAGGTGCAAGCATTAGGAATGACATTCCTTTGCGTATGATATGGATTTGTTGGATACTTGGACTATCTGGCGTTAAAGCTATATGTGTAAATGTCAGTTATTAAATCTGTCATCAGAAGACGTGTTTACCAGATTTTATCACATCCTGTGGGAGAGCAGCAAGGGTAAGTGAGCAGACTCATCACAGATGGGCTATAATGGTAATTTACCATTACAATGATAATTTATGTACATCACCAGCCTATTCATTTACGGCAAGCACTGCCTTATGTGAAGGCTTATTTTACAACAAAAAACTCTTGGGAGGATTATTATAATACTTATGATGAATATATGCCTCTGATTGCTTAACTCAGTGACTAGAGAATTAAAAGCTATCAGAACTGGAAGGTATGAGTGTGTGTGTGCTTGATCGTAACCAACTCTTTGCAACCCCATGGATGCAGCCCACCAGGTTCCTCTGTCCATGGGATTTCTCAGGCAAGAATACTGGAGCGGGTTGCCATTTCCTATGCCAGGGGGTTTTCCCGACCCAGAGATCAAACCCGCATCTCCTGCACTGGCAGGCGAATTCTTGACCACTGAGCCACCAGAGAAGCCCCCTTTGAACAGTGAGCTATATGAAAACCCCTTGTAGTGGCACCGCAGCTTGTGGTCTGGTGGAGGGCCTGGTGACCAGGCTGTTTTCTCTCTGTCCCCGTCGTCATTATCCTGCCACAGAAGAGGCACGCAGATTGAAAACCAACTTCTACAAAAGCACAGCTTTGTATTCCCACCATGCAATTTCTGCACAATAAAGTGGGTCTGGTGTTGCGTCAGACTTCAGTTGTCCGGTACGGGACACAGTCACTCCCAGGGCTCGAGGGCTGTCGCTGTTTCCTCTTTTAGGGACGGGGCTACTTACTTGGGCAGGATGACCTGCACGCGCTTGGGCACCATGGTGCTCACCCAGCTGTCGATGGTCTTGGTGCTGATGTGAGGGACGATGGCGGACAGCGGGACAGAGCTCTCTGTCGGCAGCGCGATCAGCATGCTGATGCTTTCGCCGTGGTAGGGCAGCTCGATGAAGTTGTACCATAAGCCACTGGGGGTGCTTGTCGACCCTAAAGAAATCAGAGGCAGGCTCAGGGCACCCTTGGTGACTTCCAGGAGGGGCACGAGCGGTTGCTGATGGCCAGGGTAGCTTTTATTTATTTCATTGTGTTGACTTTGGGGTGCATACTTTTATTGTTCTCCATTTTTTATATGCCCATTTCCCAAACATGTTTATTCACCTTTTGAATCTTTCACATCCTCGGGGCCGACCACATACTGTGTGAGTTAGTTGCCCAGTCACATCCAACTCTTTGTGATGCCATGGACTATAGCCCACCAGGCTCCTCTGTCCATGGGATTATCCTAGGCAAGGATACTGCAGTGGGTTTCCATTTCCATCTCCAGGGAATCTTCCTCACCACCCCCCCAAGGCATCAACCCTGTGTCTCTTATGTCTCCTGCACTGGCAGGTGGGTTTTTTACTGTCTGAGCCTCCAGGGAAGCCCCCACCACACACCACACAGTAGGCATCAACAAGCACTTCATTTTCAAAGGATGGCCATTCATGCATCCATTCTCCTTTTAACAGTAAGAAGATGACTGATATTCAGGCCCCATATGTATTTTTTTAAAAGATGAGAAACAGTTCATTTTCAAAATCAAGATAACATTCAGGTGAGTGTGTCAGGTGGTTTGGTCCTAACTACTTTGCCTTTTATTTCATTTTTTGTATTATAAGATCTCTAGAAGACAAATAAATGCCCAGCCACGTTCGTCTACACATTACTCACTGCTTTCCCCCTTCATTTTCTGTTTTTATGAAAGCTTCCAAAAACAGCTTTCTTAGAAAGTCAAAGATAAGGGAAATTATTTCTTCCTTCCCTGGTAAAGAATTCTTTAGTCTAGACATGTCTAGAATGCCTTTGGCCACACTAAATCTAAGTAGAATTAAACCAGATCACAAGGCATGTAGAATACAGTGCTTTGTAAGAAGCTGACCTTTATCAGATGGATGAAGGGGTGAATGTGAGCTGCCTAAGCATGATTTTTTTGGTGGAGCCTCCGTGTGTGTGAAGAAAAGTTGGGGGTGGGTAGTAAACAGCTTCCCCTGTTTAGGGTCCACTCTGTGCCAGGCCCACACCAACCACACCAACACATTTAGGATCTACAGCACCCCACAAAGTAGATTTAAGGAGTCCTATTTTACAGCTGTGAAAGTGAAAGTGTTAGGCACCCAGTCGTGTCTGACTTTGCAACCCCGTGGACTGTAGCCAGCCAGGCTCCTCTGCCCATGGGATTCTCCAGCTAAGAATACTGGAGTGGGCTGCCATTCCCTTCTCCAGGGGATCTTCACAACTAAGGGATCAAACCTGGGTCTCCTGCATTACAGGCAGATTCTTTACTGTCTGAGTCACCAGGAAGAATTTTACAGCCGGGGAGGCTACAATTAGAGACGCTAACTAATGTGTCAAGAAGAGACACGAGGCTGAGAAGTGGAGCAGAGCTCCGTATTGACTCAGTACGTCTAAACCCAAAGGTGGTCCCCGACCCCTACTCACGCTTCATCCACTCCGGTAACTACCATGAGGGCTTTCTGATAGTTTATGGTACCCGTGCTTACTAACAGAGACCCAAGAATGATTTAAACCAGCACTTCTCACAAAGTCGTCCAGAGAACACACAGCCTGCAAGCCACCTGGTAGACAAAACGAATTTCACATCCCAGGAAGCACCGGATTCTTCTTGCACATTCATAATACACAACAGTTGAGAAAGGCTCTGAGAGGTCCCGAAGAAAACTGTTTAACTCTAGTTATTCCCAGGTTTCCCAAATTAATTTGATCTTAGAATCCTTTTATCCCACGAGAAGGGGCTTCCCTAGTGGCTTGGTGGTAAAGATTCCGCCTGCCAATGCAGGAGACAATTTCTGGGTGCAATTCCTGGGTCTGGAAGACTCTGGAGAATGAAACGGCTGCCCACTCCAGTATCCTCGCCTGGAGAACCGCATGGACAGAGGAGCCTGGTGGGCTACAGTCCGTGGGGTCACAGAGAGTTGGACAGGACTTAGTGAGTACATAACAACAATAATCCCCTGTGAAGCACTCAAAACATTTAGCAAGTAAGCAGTGCAACTGAGGATCGCCCATCAGAGTGAGCCTCAAGTGCAATCATGGCAGGTGTTGGGGAGAAGCCCAGGGTGCGGGTGTGAGGCCCAGAGGGGCCGTGAGCATCCCAGGAAAAGAGCCTTCCACAGGGCATGCCTGAGCATCCCAAGAAACCTTCACATGAGCCATGCAGTGGGAGAGCTCTAAGAGTTAACTACGTGAATGGAAAACCAGGATTTCTGGATCATGTGGAATTCTGAAATGTTTTCTCGAACACTTCCAACTTTAGAAGAAGACCTCGGTGATCCTGGTGAGGTTCCTTAACCTCTGTGTGCCTACTGGTTTGGAGAACAGAGAGATCAGGAATATAAAAAGTGTGAAAAAAACATATAGCCAACAAGGAAGGTCCTACTGTAATAGCACAGGGAACTCTGTTCAATGTTAAGTGGCAGCCTGGAGGGGGGACTTGAGGGAGAGCAGATACATGTGTATGTATGGCTGAGTCCCTCCGCTGTCCACCTGAAACCATCACAACATTGTTAATCAGCTATACTCTAATATACAATAAAAAGTTAAAAAGTGTGTAGCCCACAAGATTATTGTGAGGATGAAGTGAGAAGCCACATACAAGGTACTCAGGGGGGTTTCCGTGGTGGCTTAGTGGTAAAGAACCCACCTGCCAACGCAGGAGACGTGGGTCTGATCTCTGGCTCGGGAAGATCCCCTGGAGGAGGAAATGGCAACTCACTCCAGTATCCTTGCCTGGGAAAAATCCCACAGACAGAGGAGCCTGGTGGGCTATACAGTCCATGGGGTCGCAGAGTTGGACACAACTAAACAACTTGTTGTTTTGCAACTAACAACAAGGTTCCCAGCAGGGCCCAGCCACAGTGGGTGCCCAGTGAACGCTGGTCCCCTCTTCCATCATTCAGAGGACAAAACATTTAAGAATGAGAGAAAAGAGAAAGTGAGTTTCTCTCATGATCTTCACTTGACTGCTCTTTGGGGATGACCTTTGCTAATCGCTGCATCTGAGACAAGGAACTTCAGTAAGCCCTTCTCCGGATAGGGGTTGGGAGGGAGGTCCCAGGCAGATTCCTTACCATATGAGCCACCAGTAACATGACAAAATGGTGAAGCTCTTAGAATACACGACTCTACAGGAGGACACAGCAGGATCTCCTTGAGGAAGAAACATGCCAGCAATTCGTGGGTCACCTGGTGTTTCCTGTTCCCATCATACGCCTCTGCCTGTGGGGCTGCCCAGGACACACATGCACCTCACTCTCACCCAGGTTCTGCCTCAGACTGCCTGAGAATCCAAGATGAGATGCTGTGTCTTTCCCTTGCATCATAAAATGGTCTCAGCAGAAACTGAAAATGATGGAAAAGAGAGAGAGAGAGAAAAAAAACCCACTTCCTAATAAACCTTTTAATTTTCAAAGAAAACATTAGGTTCCCATGCTGGTAGAGCTCACTTCTGGAAACTGTGAAATGTGGGAAGTTGCTAATAAAGGACTGCTCCGTAGCATGAAATAAGGACCTGGAGGCGTTCATTAACCACGTCTAGAAGTGTTTACTGTTCTGGTGAGAATCAGGGTCGTGAAAAATGAACTTATGAGCTGAAGTGTGTTCTAGGTGGGGCGAGAGCTGCTACTTCTACCAGGGAATCCAGCCTCGAGGGGACACATCGTTAACTGATCAGTAAGGTGAATACCAGCTAATCGATTTGCATCTAGTCGCTCACATCTGCCCGATGGTCCATTTCTCCCTGGCCCCACTTCTCATCACAGGAGCAGATGACAGATGTCACCTAGGATGACTTCACACACAGCCCCCTTCCACGCGTATCTTTACTTGTGGAAGTGAAAGTGAAAGTGTTAGCTGCTCAGTCGTGTCCAACTCTTTTCGACCCCAGAGACTGTAGCCCACCAGGCTCCTTTGTTCACAGAAATCTCCAGGAAATAACCCTGGACTGGGTAGCCATTCCCTTCTTGGATCTCCCTAACCCAGGGATCAAACCCAGGTCTCCTGCACTGCAGGCAGATTCTTTATCGTCTGAGCCACTTTTTTCTCCGTCCACCCAATCATGGAAGTAGCATGGTTTTACAGAGGGCAAAGGCCAAAGACACAGTTATCTGGAGTCGGGGGACCTGGATTCAAGCCCTGGCTCCAACACGCTAGCTCTGGGATTTGGGCAAGTTCCTGAACTCCGAGTCTTAGTTTCTCTATCTGTAAAATGGGATGATAGTACCCACCTTACAGAGCTGTTGTGAAAACTGAGTGAGATAACTCATGCCTGGAGCTCAGCCCAGTGGCTGCACAGAGCAAAAAGCCTTCATCTATGGGTATGGGTACTTTACTTCCTGAGTGTCAGAATCGATCCCTCGGGAGAAACCACACCTGCTTCAGTGGGGCACAGCTCCTGGGTGGAATGAACCAGGCGAGGAAGTGACATCGGGGGATTTTGTGTCAAAGCAGGGAGCCTGTTGCCATCCCAGACCTCTTTCTGCCCCAGGCCCTCCATCCTTTAACATCTGGGAAGCAGACTGAGTGTTCTCCAATGAGGAGAATTCCTGGAGTGTATAGAGATGTGAATGGATCAGCCCCATTCATTTAAAGAGAAGGGAAAAGGTGAAAGAGGGAAACTCAGTTTTTTCTCTTAGATGAATGAAAGTGAAAATGTTAGTTGCTCGGTCGTGTCTGACTCTTTGTGACCCCATGGACTGTAGCCCGCCAGGCTCCTCTGTCCATGGGATTCTCCAGGCAAGAATACTGGAGCAGGTTGCCAATTCCTTCTCTAGGGCATCTTTCCAACCCAGGGATCAAACCCGCATCTCCTGTATTCCCTACACTGCAGGCAGATTTTTTACCGATGAGCCACTAAAGAAGCCCTCTTAGATGAATGGTGATCCACAAAATCTTTTAATGAACAGGCAAAGAATCAAACATTGAAAATACAGAGAAGATTTAGAACTTTCTGTAGGGGGTGCTTTGGGGATGGTCTGGTTTTTCTGGAAAGCCCTGTAAAGTCCTCTGATTCCTACTTTAAGCCCTATAATGGAGGAGATAACCAGGGTTCTTAAGTGTTAAGAACCCTTCTCAGCCTGTAAAAAAGGAGAGAAAATATTTTAAATATTCAGTATCAGGAAAGCTTTGTAGACAAAAGTCTGTCTCATTACTTCTACTACAAGCAACTTTGTGGATTTCAGAGTTCTTAAGGAACTGTTGAGGCTATTCTTAAGTAGAAATCGAAATATATATTTGAGAAAAAGAAGCACACGTTGATCCACTGTACATAGTAGTATACCATTAGGCTGCAATGGGAAGGGAGTCTGGGGAGAGTTGATGGAGAAGGAGATGTGGTTGAGCAGCTGGGTTGAGTACTGGTGCCATTTGTTGGGCGAAGGAACACTGCGGGGAGAACCAGATGGTGAGGGCAATAGTGTGTCTACCTGCGGGACTAGAACTTGGTAGACAACTCAGCAGAGATGTAATATGGACACACAGGTGTGAGCTGTAAGCTCAGAGGAGAGTGGAAGCTGGAAACATACTGTATATTCACAGAACACACGTGCACATATACATATACATGTATGTCTGGATTCTTCTGTGGTCTTTTTCAAAACAAGCGAGTCTCTTAAGTCTAAACTCATAGCAATAAAAATAAAAAATCTGTTAAAAACTTTGACTCAGCAATTCCTATCCAAGGAAATTACCTTTATTGATTTATTCATTTGGCCAGGCTGCATGGTTTGTGGGATCTTAGTTCCCCGACCCAGGGCCCTGGCAGTGGAAGCGCAGCATCCTAACCACTGAACCAACAGGGAAATCCCAAGGAAATTATCTCCAGCAGTTCCAACACAAACATCTAAAGATTCATGTAAAAGAATGCTCATTCTAGTGTTGTTACAGGAAAAAAGTAAATGGCCATTCAGAGGATACTATGATATGCGGAATGCTATGTAGCTGATAAAAGGATCAAGTAGATCCAAAGAAGTGACATAAAGTTTTCTAAGGGAGATTGTCTAATAAAACAGATTACAGAATAGAAATTATAGTGTAATCCCATGTATGCAAAAAGTTGCACAGACGTATTTTATATATCCACAGAAAAGGTCTCAAATGATACACCAAGCACTTAATAGGAGTTTTTATACTGGAAAGGGGATTATAGGAGAATATTTTCTTTCTGCCTTATATACTGTTATGTTTGAAGATTTTGCAATGAGTGTGAAATATACGTCCACTAATTTTAAGGCTTTTTTTTTTTTAATGGAAAAGTTTCTGCCCTCAAAGTGCTTACAGTTTATGTAACTTAAGTCAGAAGGGTTTTCCCCTCCTATTTCCATCCTCTCCCTTATGGTTTTACTAAGTGAATCCTCTCAGAGACCTTGACATATTGGGTGAAAAATCAGGAAGGCTGATAAATGGGTAAATGGAACAGCAATGTTCCAGCAAAGTGACCAAGGATGGCTCAGCTAGGCTGAACCCCATGAGAGGCTAGGCAGAGGGCACCAGAGGCCGTGTAAGTGACCAGCTGCCAGGACCGCCTGCCTCCCAGCCCTGGCTGGTCATGTGGGTCAGACAGTGATGAGACCGGCAGAAAATGGGTGACCTGCTGGGTGGTCTACTGTCATGAAAACAAATGCCTGCCTGCAGCCACCATGGACTGCTGGGCTTTCTTCACAAGACAAACTGGCCCCCTCTTTCCAGGAAAAACTGCCTTGCCAGCCAAAGGGGGAAACCTGGGAACAGACAATGCCACTGGACTCTACTGCATGGTCCATGGAAGGCCCTGGGTTCCAATCCCAGGTGCAGAAAATGGGGCAGGAAGGACGGCCCCCGGCCACTTGCAGTGTTGACTTGGGAGGGAACGGGACCAATGGGACTTTCATGGTCTGCTTTGAATTCAGTACAGGTGAGTCAGGGTCCAACGGCCAACAGGCAGGACACCAAACTGGGGCAATTAAAGTGGAGTTTCATGGAGGGACCATTTATAAAGCAAGGGCAGAATACAGAGGAGTCACAGGATGGTACCCTGGGTCACAAACATAAGCGCCATTACCAGCCTTAGGCGGGGAGGGCCGAGGGGAGGGGGTGGTGGCCGAGACAAGGGGCCCTTGGGCAGGTCCTGACAGTGGGGGAGCTTGCGTAGAGGGATGAGGCAGCCCCGGTGATGCCGGGAGAGCGCTGGGGTGCCAATGCCTGACTCTACCACCTGCTGGGTCACCCCAGCAGCCAACCAACAGGAAGCCCAGGGGCAAGGAAACCCACTGATGCGGCCTCCTGGGGGCTCAGAAGGGAGGGGAGGAGCGAGAACATGAATCAGAGAAGGCGGGGAAGAGACCCTCCACACCATGGACCATAAGAATGTATTTGCCTCACTTTCTGTGAAGCGCACACATACTCTTATTAATTGAGAAGCCACCTGGAGATACAACTCCCAGCAAACACCCTATATGTTGAAGAAATTCCTACAAATACAAACATTTTCATCTTCATGGGAATGTCTACAGAAGCCTTGCATTTCAATCCTTCCTGACTTATTCGTTATTTTTCAGCAATAGAAATATACAGTGAGGCCCTCTCCAATTTGGTTTATTAGACTGTACAAAGACTGATCTAAAACAAAATAGCTTTTCTTCAGATAGAAGCTAGAGGCAATGCTAGTGTTTCAATGACGTAGGCAACGTAACCTGAAAGTGATTTATAGACAAAATGAGTCTTCTATTTTTAAAATTTTATTTATTTGCTTTTCTTTTTTTTTGGCCATGCTGTGTGGCTTGTGGGATCTTAGTTCTCTGACCAAGGATTGAACCCAGATCAGAGTGTGAAGACCTAACCACTGGACCGCCAGGGAATTCCCAAGAGACTTTTATTCTCCTCAGTTTCTTCCAATGACACCTTTCTGTAGGACTTTTAAATACATATTATCTTTAAAAAAGATGTATTGAGTAAGTGACAAAATACCACCTAGAAGCTTAATAAATGACAAGGGGGAAGAAAAATGACTTTGGTTACTGCATCCCTCCCATGAGTCATTCCTTAATTTAAAGAATTAGGCAGCTAGAGATATGAAGAGAAGTGCTTGATCTAATATATACTGTATATGCAAACGGAGTGCTTGGGACCCACATGTCCACATAAAGGTTAACTTATAAATGAAAAGGAAGTTTAACTGGACCATGAGTATTTCAATGAAAGCAGGTTTATAAAATAATCACCAGCCTTAGTTCTCTGTGGTAATGAGGCAGAAATGGGTCATTTCCCCCCCCTCCCCCGACTATAAAACTGACATATGCTCATTTAAAAAATTTTCAAACTCAAGGAAAAAATAATCATTTGAAATACTACCACTTAACATTTTACTGAACATCCTCCAAGACATGACTGTATGAATATATAGAAAGTATTTTACATAAACGAGATGAAACAGCATCTGCTGCTCTGTAACTTGTTTTCTGAAATCAACCACATATTATATAACTTTCTACTTATATAAATCTAATTGTCATGTGTGTTCCACTACATGTACCTATATAGCTTCTACTTGTTGCCAGTGTGTGATTATCTTCAGATTATAAATTCCTTGGTGTGAAACTGTTGGGGCACAGCTTCTAGAAAGTCAGTCAGACCACAGCCCTCCCACCCCCACGGCACCCAAGGGCATACATGTGCCCCACACCAGAGCCGTGACTGGGCTGGCCTTGTCAGTCTCTGCAATTTTTGCTAATCTCATCAGTGGAAAAGAAATCTAATTTTTACTTTCATTTTTAATTTGGTAATGTAAGATTGCTAATGATGAGTTGACAATGCATTCATATGTTTACTGTCCATTTATACTTCTTATGTCCTAAATTGCCCTTTTATCTTTAAATTTCAACCTAAAAGTGATGCATGTGTTACATACTATTACATGCTGCTGTTTAGTCACTAAATGGTGTCCCACACTTTCACGACCCCATGGACTGTAGCCCATCAGGCCCCTCTGTCCATGGGATTTCCAGGCGAGAATACTGGAGTGGGTTGCCATTTCCTTCTCCAAAGGTTCTTCCTGACCCAGGGATTGAACCCACGTCTCCTGCAGTGGCAGGCGGATTCTTTACCACTGAGCCACCAGGAAAGTCCATACTAATAATACATAACCTTTGTAAGTAATGCCAAGACTTACCATGAGCTTTTAAAAAATCCTGCCCTCCCCTCCCCTGTCCTTTATAAAAACTAAAAAGGCAGACTGCTCCTGAATTTATTGACAGCATGTGAGGCCCTTTCCTCGGCTGGCACATTCGAGAACACAGCCTCACCCAGCGTGCACTCACCGCAGCGGAACACAGACAGCTGGGCCAGCATGGGCACTTGGTAGGATTTCCCGTCAGCTGCCACAAACGTGCGCTTCTTGGTGTTCTCAGGCAGAAACCGTGATCTCCACAAACCCTTAAAATACACCGCGTTGACCAGGACCAGTCTGGTGAGGGCGCCGTTGAGAAGATCTGGGGACAGCAGATTGTCGATCATACCTGCGCAGGCAGAGAACACACACGGGGACACTTGGGACCGGCCATCCATCAGCGCAAAAGGCAGCTGAGGGATCAGGGGGAATGAAAAAATCTAACAAGTGTTAAGATTCAAAGATTTTTAAAAGACCTTTCACAATATCCTCTTGTCCTTCTAATTGTTTTCCTCACTAAAAATTAAAAGCTGAAAACAAATTAAAAATCAGTGAACCCAGAAAAGACTTCAGAAACCCTCTATTTTTTTTTTTTCATTTATTTTTATTAGTTGGAGGCTAATTACTTTACATCATTGTAGTGGTTTTTGTCATACATTGAAATGAATTAGCCATGGATTTACATGTATTCCCCATCCCGGTCCCCCCTCCCACCTCCCTTTCCACCCGATCCCTCTGGGTCTTCCCAGTGCACCAGGCCCGAGCACTTGTCTCATGCACCCAACCTGGGCTGGTGATCTGTTTCACCCTAGATAATATACGTCAGAAACCCTCTATTTAGAACAAACTTTTCATCAAGAAATTCTTTTAAAGTTGTAGGATATAAGAGCAACATATTAAAAATCTGTATCTGTTTCTGTACACTCACAATGACCAATTAAAAAATAAAATGAAAACAAATCAACTTATAATAGCATCAAAAATGATCAAAGGAATATATCTGATAAAAGCACAAGACAAAAACACTGAAAAAATTATTTTATAACTAATTCCCTATAAGCCCCCTGTTTTAAGAACATTTTACTTATCCACATAAACTATACTCATTAATTCATTTCTGTGTTTGATAATAACGACCTGTATGGCTGCCAGTGAGGGCTTTTGGCCGGCACAAGATAAACTGTTGTCATGTTGATTTGTTTTAACTCCCGGGTTGATTTAATCCCAGTTAAAAATAAAGGAACACTTCAGCCTATGCAATGTTATCAAAGCTAAACGCTTAAGTTCTCTTAAGATTTTAGGAATGTGGAGCATTAGTTTGGAATCCCTGGTTATTACAAAGCTACTTAAAGAAGGTAGGACTAAAATCGGTATCTATATTGATGGGTCAGGGATCCGTCTAGGCTCATATTACAGAGATTAAAAAGAACCAGGGTCTGTCTGTAGGGAAGAACTATTTGTTAAGGAAGAGCTCTTCACAAGACATTGGGATGGTCTGGCTTGTTTGTGTAGGAGTGAAGCAGCAAATATCGCTGTTGTGGTTTCAGGATGCTCCTGTGAATGCATGAAGATCCCCCTCAAGTACTATCTCTGCCTGAAGCTTTGGATTTTCATTTAGGTTCCTCTTGCTTGGCTTTTAAAGATTCAACTGTGTGTGGGTGCGTGTGTGCACCTGTGTATGTGTGTGTATCTGTCTCTGTGAGTGTGTACAGGTTTAAGGGAGATCACTAATACCAAAACTATTAAAAATGAGTTCACTGTAGCTTTTAATCCAAAAAGTACCTAATATAAATGCCTAGTTACAATACATTAAACGGTGGGAATAAAACCAACAGCTTCTGAAGAAGCAAGACTATCTAATTCAGCAGAGAGCTTTAAGTCCTTTTAAATGAAGCTCAAGAAGACTCAGATGGACAATAAACAGATGTTTATGTGCGTCATGGTAAAGGAGCACACAGGAATGGATACCCTGACCGCCAGGGTTCTCAGTAAGTCAGTATCATCACTGCTCTTTACTTACACCAGGGGGCGCCAAAGCCCCCTTATAGCAGGATCTGCAGGAACACAAGTGCTATAAATAGCCATCTTTCAATGCAAGGGACCTCTGTGAACACTGGATCCTGTGGGAAGGAAGTGAGAATTCTGTGCTCCAGCGAGTTGGATTCCCAATAGCTGTGTCTTGCCTTCACTGGGACCATTATCCAGTCCAACTGCTACATACCTTTGAGACACAGCTCAATGGTCCCCTCTTCTTCTATCTCTTCTCTGACCCTCCTCCCATCTCCAAGGAGTTTCCATAAAACCCAAGGCGCAGCACTATCATTACACTGCAGCATTTTATTCTAGCCAAATGTAACATCTGTCTCCATCAACTAAACTGTGAGCTGCACAGAGCAAGAACCCAGTCATTCATTATTGAAAAATCACACCTAAGATTCTACGTTCGCTCTTCTGTTGGTGAACACCAAGAGTCTGAAGCAATCTCTTCTGCCCCTTTTCCTGAGACAAATAAAGCCTCTTATTGCCACTAGGTTTAGGCTGGCTCAGCGGTAAAGAATCTGCCTGCTAATGCAGGAGGCACAGGTTCAATCGCTGGGTGTGGGAGTTCCCCTGGAGAAGGAAATGGCAACTCACTCCACTATTCTTGCCTAGCAAATCCCAGGGACAGAGTAGGCTGGTGGGCTACAGTCCATGGGGTTACAAAAGGGTCAGATACAACTTAGCAACTAAACAAGAACACTGCTACTGGTAGAACTAAGATAGAATAAGGGAACACAAAGAAATAAGAAGAAAAAAATGCATGGTTTAGAGGCAAGAAGGGACCTCCCATCAGTAATTGTCATGAACATGCATCCCTCATCTATTCACCCATCCATCTATCCATGCATTCATTTCTTTGATGCCTGCCTACTATGTGCCAGGAACTCTTTTAGGTAAGAAACCAAAACAAAAATAAACCCTGTCCCTCAAAAAGCTATAGATTAGAGCGAGGTGGAGGCTTACATAAGTGACTTGGAAATACAATTGTAATAAATATCCTGTAGTGGAAGTGTGGCTACTTAAGGATGTGAAGGCAAGTAAGAGGGGGATTCGATCTGGTCAGTGAGATCAGGGATGGGTGGGCTCCTTGAGGAAGGATTACTTGAGTCCACAACTGTAAAAATAGCTCACATTCACCAAACATTATTTCCAAAGTGTCAACCACTCTGTTAAATGCCTTATGAGTATTATTCATATTCCCATAACAGCCTTAATGTTATTATAAGAATTCTAATAGGTACCACTGTCTTTTTTTCCTTCAGTTCTTTTTTTGCTGCACCACGAGGCTGGCAGGATCTTAGTTCCCCCACCAGAGATCAAAGCCATGCCCTCGGCAGTGAAAGCGCTGAGTCCCATCACTGGACGTCGGGAAGGTCCCGGATCCGCTATTATATCATCTCCCCATTTTACAGAGGAGGATGCTGAGGCACAGGGAGGTTAAGTAACCAGGCTGATGTTACACGGCCAGTAGGTGGCAGAACTGATACTCAAACTAGGCACTTAACGCTTGTAAGGGCTATGCCATTCATGAGATAGTGTGAAATCAACAGGCCAGGGGCTACTGGAGAAAGCATTCCAGGAAGCAGGATGCACGGGGGTGTCTGATTGGAGACAGGATGGCCGAGAGACTGGGAGGGGGTCCACATGGTTGGGTCAGAGGCCACAGAAAGGGGGTCCCAGGCAAGCCATCACCATATCCCTGGCACACTGGGAAGGCTCCCCCACCCTCTGCAGGGCAGGATTTGTCATCTCCACGTGGTGGCCTTCCACATGTGGACTGATTTATCTCCAGGGTCTCTCTGAGACCTCGCATGTAGCCAAGTGCCTCTGAGTAGGGCCGTCTGCAAATCTGTAGGAGTGTTTCTGGCTGAGGGGACAGTGACCAGAGATGCTACCTGTCTTGTAATGTTCAAAACAGCCCCACACAATAAACCGTCCTGCTTCCTGCATAACTTTCCAACGCTCCGCTGCAGTCATGTTCCTGAGAAACCTGCTCAAGGTCATCTGAGCCCAGAGCCTCACTTTTCTTGTAAACACAAAGTATTTTTTTTTTTAGTAATTTATTTTAATTGGAGGATAACTGCCTTACAGTATTGTGTTGGTTTCTGCCATATATTTTGCGTACTGTTGATGGACACTGAATTTGCCAGGAAATTGATGACCACGCAAACCAAGAGGAGCCGGTACTTGTTTTGGTCGGAAATTTACAAAGAGTTTTGCAGTGTTTTAGAAAAACACTGCATCAGTGATGGTAACACAGCCTGTAGTTTTTCTGTCACCAGTAAGGCGGGCCTGACTCAGTCTGCTTTTGTGGCTGTCAATTCACAGTGTGAATGTCAATTCCCACGTCAATTCTTATTCTAAGATTCTCTTGCATATTCAGGGGTGGCTGTACCCAAGGGTTTACCTATTGAACTACATCCATAAACTACTTTTGTTTTTCCTAGTATTACAGCTTGGCAGTATATTAATTTTTCAAAATTTATGTATGTGTGCATAGGTTGCAGGAGCTATGCATTTCACTTCAAGAGAGTAAGAAAATCCTTTTTTGGACAGCGGGAGTCAGGTCTGCACGGTAGAAGAGCACTTTTCTAGCCTTACTGCTTTCCTTTCCCCAGATGCTGTGAGCAATGCATTGAGTCAGTGTGTGTTCAAAGTGGCCTGAAACTGTCGGGCGGCATCCTGAGGGACTTACTGCTCCAGGACACAGTACAGAAGACTAGGTGGGATCTGACGTCACATCACACAGCCACTCGGCATCTGAGTGCCATCAGCGTCCTGCCTCAGTTCTCAGTCCTACAGGCTCAGAAATCACACTTATCCCCTCTCACTCGCTGGTCTCCTGACCATTTCTTGGTTTCAGGAAGGGAGCCTAGGTTGCACCGTGCAGGGTCCCGTTGAGAAGGGATGGCACGGGTTTACCAACACCACCCTGGCTCTCCTCCACCCTCCAGAGCATCTTTCCTAGCTAGCCCCTCATGTGGTTTGCAAATATTTGCCTTGACAAGTCTGGAGGGAGACTGGGGCAGAACTTGCTTTAGTGCAGAAGGCGAGGCCCCTGCCTCCGAGCTTCTCCTTAGCAGACTGGGGTTCCAGGGATCAGAATTCTAAAAACATGCCATTCTGATGCTGGAACCATGCTTTGAAAGATGTGACCGGAAGAGACAGAGTTTCTCCAAGTTTCCTCTTTGGGCTTATTCTCCATTTTGAGTCGCTTTTGCTTCCACTCTGATGACCTTAACTCCCCCCACTTTGTGAAAGACAGTTTCCAAATCTCTGTTTCTAGCCTTAAATTTTCCCTGTTGTTCTGTACCTATCCTACCTCCTGAATGTTTCCACCTGAAACTGCACTTCACAAATGAACAGGCTAAAAACACTGATCTTAGACATTTCTTCAGTTTATGGGGGAAGGGACGCACATGCACAAATGACCATCAGGGTGGACATGCTCTGTCTAATGAAGGGCAGGGTCGTGTAAGCGCATGCCAACCACAACCCACCGACGCACCTACTTCCTGCGATGACAGAGGCGAGAGGGGAGGGAGGGGAGGAGAGAGGCAACAGAGGGCCAGGGGGCCGAGAGGTCCAAACTATTATGTAGAAAATACGCTACAAGGATGTACTATACGGCACGGGGCATATAGCTAATAGTCTGTAATAACCGTACATGGAGTGTAACCTCTAAAACCCGTGAATCGCTACACTGTACACCCGTACCTTATATAATACTGTACATCAACTATATTTCAATAAAGAGAGACAGGAATGTGTGGGGAGGGCTCAATCCCAAGTCTTAAAGGCTGAGAAGCACATTCTGGGTAAGGATGATGCAAATATAGAAGCAGGAAGAAATGAGCAAAAAAATCTGCAGAACAGACAAGGGCCTGGGGGCAGGGACCTGGACATGAGATGCATCGAGGAAGAAAGAGAATCCCCGGAGTTGTATTCTGCCCTGGTCCCTGAGCCACAGGGAGGCAAGTCTCCGGGGCGGTGGCACGAGCTGTGCCCACATCAGGAAAAGGGAAGGAAGAAGAAAGACTGAGCCTTGGGCCTGCTAAGAGGGAGAGGACAGTGCATTCAGTGGGGTCCAGGGCTTTCACCACGGCGGGCCACTGGACTCACTGACCCAAGGCAGGGTCTCAGAGCCTGACTCATGCCTTCGTACACAAAGCAGAAAACCACCCTACTCGTTCCCGGGACCCGAGGCCACTCACCCTGTGTCTCGTTCCTGACCCACGCGTTGATGGATGCACAGGCGGAGGCCGGGTCCTCGAAGTCCGCATTGCGGACTTCACACTGGAACACGTCCTTGTTCCTCGTGACGAAGGGCACTTCCATCTTAGAGTCGTTCTTCACAAACACAGCGTTGGCCACCGTCACAATGTCTTTATTCTTCTTGGAGACGATGGCCTTGTTGATCTTCTTTAACATCTTACCGACTCCTGAAGCAGAAAAGAAAAAATGCAGCGATGCTTCCGTAGAATTCAAGGCTTTCCTTTTTTTTTTTTTAATATCGTCTATAGTATGAAAAATAAGGACAGTATAATAAAAAGATGAGTATGAGGAGCAAGAGACTAAATCATCTGATTTTTCAGTGGCCTCCTGTTAAGAAAAAAGGGGAGGGTGGAAAATGACATATAACCGTTAACAACCCCTCAAGATCAACTGCAGGCTTCCCAGGTGGCTCAGTGGTAAAGAATCTGCCTGCCAATGCAGGAGATGCAGGTTCGATCTCTGAGTTGGGAAGATCTCCTGGAGAAGGAAATGGCAAGCTACTCCAATATTCTCGCCTGGGAAATCCCATGGACAGAGGGGTCTGGCGGGCTACAGTCAGTCCATGGATAGCAAAGCATCAGACATGACTGAGCACACGGACACATGAGATCAACTGTACATCTTGCCCCAGAACAGGCATCTCCTGGGCTTCTCTGCACCTTTCCTGTGGAGAGCTCGCTCTCCTGGAAGATGTTCCTGGCAGCAGGGAGACTGGCACCCTCGTCAGTTATGTACCCATGGGGGATCAGCCCAAGGACTCTCCCTAACCTCTCTTCTGAAGCGCTATTTCCTTCCCTGAAAAAGATTTAACAGTTCAATTTCTTGTCTCTATTTTGAGAAGAAAAAAAAAAAAGGTATCAAGGAAGCATCAGAAAGACTACAAAAAACTGCCATGCGCCACCATCTAAGAACAATGCGATTTTTACTTGATACGAAGCTCACAAATAAGGGGACTCATTTTATGGCGACATAAGCTTTACTTCCCTGGCGGCTCAGACGGTAAAGTGTCTGCCTACAATGTGGGAGACCCGGGTTCAATCCCTGGGCCGGGAAGATCCCCTGGAGAAGGAAATGGCAACCCACTCCAGTATTCTTGCCTCGAAAATCCCATGGACAGAGGAGCCTGGTAGGCTACAGTCCATGGGGGTCACAAAGAGTCGGACACGACTGAGCGACTTCACTTTTCAGTAAGCTTTATTTTACATGAGTGACTTGTACGCACTCCATTTGGTTTCAGGGCATGGAGAAGAGGGAAAGAAATTATAGAGGATGAAATGCGTGCCTACAGAGAGCTCGATTTACAGATCTGTCTAACTCACTTGGGGTCCTTTCAAAATGTCCTAAAACAGCCAGCAGAGTCACCTTGACGGTCACTCTAGAAGAGGTGAGAGCCCCACAGTCTGGCCCTTTGGAGGCCTCTGGGGACCCCACCCCTCATGGGTTCTGAGGGGCGGGTCCAGCAGGACGGGCAGGGCACCTGTATGATGAAGGGACCAGCTGACGTCAGGGCCCAATCCTGGCACTCGTTCCTTTCAGCTGCACGGCCTCCTCCACGGGCCCCGGCCCCCTCCTCAGAAGAGGTCAGGACAGGTCCTCCTCCCCTGCCCCGGACTATCTCACCTCCCTCCGCAGCCAGCGTACCACCATCCTGAGTTCCCAGAGGCGAGCCCAAACCAAGGCCTGACAGCCCACCCAGGCTCCCCAGGATGAGTCTGTCGTGTGAACTGACGGTGAGCGACTTTGGGTCGGGGGAGGTTGCCCACCGACCAATGTTGTCAACATTTTAGAAATACTACCTGACATGGATGTGGCTCGGCGGGAAAACAAACAAGAATCTAGTTGCTCTTTTGAAATGGTGTTGGCCGGCAGAGCCTGGCCAGCCCTGGGAGAGGCCAGGAACCCTATGGGTGGTTCGCTCTGAAGTTGTAAATCACCAAGAGTTCTGTGGGCTTCCAATGAGGGCAGCACAGCGTGTTCCAAGCATTTAGTCCTCCTGCACTTCCAAACAGGTGAATGAACTGCAAACTCAAGCGGAGGTTTCACGCTATGCAAACAAGAGTACGGGCCAGCGTAAGGGGGTGGGGGCAGGTAGGCCTCTGGGGCTGGTGGCCCCGGAGGAAGCTGCTTGGAGAAGAATCTAGCTGGGGTGCAGAGGGAGGTGCGCAAGCTCCCAAACCCCCATCTCTCTGCTCCCAGAGTCAACAGGGGCAAGATTCCTAGAACCTGATGGCCAGTGGGAGAGGAAGAATGTGGGTGCGAAAGCACACTCACTTCCCAATAAAGCAACCACAAACCAGACGTGAGAAAGGACTTGTTCAAGGTCACAGCGCCCGCTGGTGCCAAAGACCAGCGCTGCCCCCTGTACCCCACGCCCTGGGGGGGTGGCGGACAGGGACTCGGGTGAGAAAACCTGAGCTCAGGCTGAGTGACAACGCTTGGAGATGTAAGCTCCTAAGTTTAGGCAGGTAATTCAAACAGGCTTTGCTTTCAAGAAAACGAAACCTTTCCTATTGGGCCTTACTTGAAATCAAGCTTTTTATTTTGCAATAGTGATAGAGTCACAGGAAGTTGCAAAACCTTATATTTTTCCCTGTATATGTCTACCTTTCACCTGAATTTCCCAATGATAGTATCTTGCATGATGGCAGGATATAGATCCACAACCAGCAAACTGCCACTGGCCCAGTCCCCCGTGCACTTGTTTTACATGCACGCATGTGTATGTGCAGCTCTTTGCAATTTCATCCCCCATGGAGACTCATGTGTCCACCACCAGTGAATATGCAGATGGATTCCCTAGCACAAGGCTCCCTTCCTGCTGCCCGCCAAGGTCACAGCCACCCACCTCCCCAAGCTTATGGATTTAAAAGCATATTCACAGCCATAATGCATTCTGAGCCCTGTACACCATGGGGGTGGGGCGGACAGGAAGTTTTGTTTGAGATGAGAAAACGGGAGCATCGAGCGATCAAGTGCCTGCCTGTAGCCCCACAGCCAGAGCAAAGCCCAGAGCCCAGCTCTCCGCAGTGCCGCTGGCCCTTAGAGGAGGCTGGCCCTCAGGCCCAGGGGGCACTGGCGAGATCCCTCCCGGCTGAGCAAGGGGCCCTCCTGCCCAGGACGCCTGCACAGCCAGGCCCCGGCACACGCACCATTCACGCCGTATCTCATCACCGTGGTGAGCTGCTTCTTGGTCCTGCCGTCGGCTCCCAGCTGTAGCATCCCCAGGACGGACGCAATCCCGTGCGGAGAAATGATGATGTTGTCATGAGGCTGGGACTTGACGATCTGATTGAAAACCTGGATGCCCGTGTCGGAGCCGAGTTCCTCCAGAGACAAAGGGTTGAACTGGGAGCCCACAGAAGGCAGTGTCACGGAGGCCACCAGGAAGAAGGGGAAATGCCAATTCATGGTTCCTTCCGGCAAGGACAACCTGGAAGAGGAGACGGAGAAAATGTTTATGTTCTACACTGAACAAACGTTTCTGGAGGAACTACTTTGTACTCAGGCTGCCCTGGTGGCTCAGTGGTAAAGAATCTGACTGCCAATGCAGGAGACACAAGTTCGATCCCTGGGTGGGCAAGATCCCCTGGAGAAGGAAATGGCAACCCTCTCCAATATTCTTGCCTGGAAAACCCCATGAACAGAGGAGCCTGGCAGGCTACAGTCAAGGGCTCACAAAAAGAGTCGGACACGACTCAGCGACTTAACAACAACAAAACAACTCTGTACCCAGGGGGCTGTGATTTACTAAATTCAGTGTAACTGCAGATCTTTAATATAGTCAAGGTAGAACAGCATAGATGAAACTGTTTTCCTTTATATTTTGTGAGGGGGATGGGGAGCAAGAGGAAGGAAACTTACAATTGCTGGTCCTAAGACTGCAGCAAACACGACTCTAATTGTTGTTTCTTTTTCGTAACCACCCTTCATCCCATCATCATTGCAGACTGAGCACCTGCAATGTGCCAAGCCCTTGTCTCAGTGCTGAGCACAGACTGTAAAGAAAATGGCCGTGAGCCCTGCCCTCCTGGAGCTTATCTTCCAGAGGGGAGACAGAAAACCAGGAGGCAATAGAGTCACTTCAGAGAGGGATCAGGGTCACGACAGTATGAACGGTGATGTAAGTGAAGGAAGCAGTAGGGGTGGGGCAGCATGGGCCTGGATAGGCAGGGAGGTCACTTCTGCAGAAGGACACACGTGCCAAGGCTGGAGTACCCAAACGCACAGATCAGGGGAAAGGATGCGCCAGGCAGAGGGCCAGAGGGGCAGAAGAGGTGGGTTGCCAGAGGTCGATGTGGCTGCAATATAAGTGATGTGGGGAGGAGGGTTGGGGGAGGGGGTGAAGAAGAAAAAGGGGCTGGATTCTGAAGGGCTTGTCAAGCCCTGTCCGCCTCTTGCATTTCATTCTACGGGTGGTGAGAAAACACTGGAGGGTCTGAAGCAGGGAGTGAATCTTTCAGGTTGCTGAGATTATCTTATTAACTGCACATACACGACTTTTACCATAAGCATATGATTTTCTTAACTAAAGAATGCTTAATGAAACTAAATTTAAGTGAAAATAAATGTAAACCTGCAAGAGGGCAGAACAATCTGCAAATTCGTCAACTGTGAAGATGGCACTGTTTACAGATATTCTCAATTGTGGTGATTCCTCTGAAATACACTTTCTTCCTTGATTACCGCTTACTGAGCTTTCTTTGGCTGTGACAAATAAGAGGTAGGAAATTTACATGTTTTTATGGAAAAGCCAATACTCTCGAACTTGGCAGCAGCAGTTGGTAAAACCAATGCAGAACTCAAGACGTGGCTAACTTGGCTCCTCCCGAGATCTGAGCTCCTGACAGGCACAAGTTTCTCCAGAAACAAGTGGTCCTCCTGTTACAGGCTTCCCTGGTGGCTCAGATGGTGAAGAATCTGCCTGCAATGCGGGAGACCCGGGTTTGATCCCTGGGTCGGGAAGGAAGATCCCCTGGAAAAGGAAATGGCGACCCACTCCAGTATTCTTGCCTGGAGAATCCCATGGACACTAGGTGTATTTGCATGGGGAAGGTAGGGGGTGTGTCTTCAGAGAATAAGACAGAGGGGAGCCTTTTAGAAGAGGTAACCTGGAGTGAGGGGAGAACAGTGTCCATGTGCTCCAGGAAAGGAAAGGGAACCAGGACAGCATCAGGCAAACACGGCAATGTGTCTTCCCTTAGTTGTTGTTTAGTCACTAAGTCCGTGTCTGACTCTCTGCAACCCCATGGACTGTAGCCCGCCAGGCTCCTCTGTCCATGGGATTATTTAGGAAAGAATCCTGGAGTGGGTTGCCATTTCCTTACCCAGGGGATCTTCCCGACTCAGGGATTGAATCCGTGTCTCCCGCGTTGGCGGGTGGATTCTTCACCCCTGAGCCACCTGGGAAGCGTCGTGTTCTCTTGCCTTCCTCTCTATTTACTTTTCCTGCTCCCCACTCCAGTAGATGTTCAATAAATGCATGTGGGATTAAACTTGATGTCTTATATATATTCTATTTTTGTTAATTATTTTTCATTGCATCAAAATAATGTTTATTGAGCATGACTAGAAAATGATCCCTTTTAAAAATTTATCTTATTTATGTGTTTCTGGCTACACACAGGTTTTCTCTGGTTGTGGAGCATGGGGTCTAGGTTCGCAGGCTTAAGCAGCTGTGATGCACAGGATTTAGCTGCCCCACAGCACGTGGAATCTTCCCGGACCAGGGATCAAACCCCTGTCCGCTGCATTGGCAGGTGGATTCCTAACCACTGGACCACCAAGGAGTTCTTAAGAAAATGATTCTGTTTAGTCCTGAACCTCACTCACTCTTAGCTTCAAACGTTTCCGAACAGATTGAAATGCACTGGAGTGGGAAGAGGCACCCACTACTTCCCCACCTGCTCCCCACCAAACACGTGGGACCCCAAGGTGAACCACTAAGACCATCGTTCAAAGGTGACGGTGCAAGATTCTTTATATTGGGAAACAAGCATGTTACAAAAAGTTCAGGATATTCAGAGCTCGTCCAGAGCTTAAATGTAGAATGAGTGTGTAAATGCAGCCTGTCTAAATTCAAAACATATAAGTGACCTACATACACTCCCACTCAGGGCTTTCCTGTGGCCAGAGTGGCCTAGTCTGACTTTGGCACCTTGGACCAGCTCTAATACTAAAATAATTCTCTGAGTTTCTTTTGGCCTGGTTGACAATGCAGAGCTCTCCAATGCTGACTATGGAAGCTTTACTCAATGCATCTAAAAATTAGACATTAGACACTGTGTCCACACCTTCTCCCTCCCCCCCGCTTTTTTTCCCTGGAAATAAATGTCCTCTTTAACCTTTAAGATACTACAAAGCCAGCATAAATATAAAACAGTCAGTACCATCTTTGTTACAAATGGCCAAATCCGGTGACTGGTACCAACTTCATCAATCTGAACTGTTGACTCTTGCATTTTGGTGGACTCTGGCAGCTGCCTTGAGTATGCCATAATCCATACTCCCCAAGCCTCCCAACAAAATTCTCCTGGATTAGCAAATATTTGAATCTGCATTCTCAGAAAGGACATCAAACTGGTTTAGCCTCTGCTAGCTTAAAGTTGATTTACCCAAACACTACAGATTTATGTAGAAGATTGTAAAACTGGTAGAAAGGATTGGTAAGAAAAAGCTACATTCCAAGGTCTTGGAATCAGCAAAGACTGTCTCCCAAATAAATAGCCACCTTATTTAGCAGAATTTTGCTTGGTTGTGAATTTTAGCTAAAAGAACAGTTTCATTATAAAGTGGGGGAAGTCTGCCAGGGGTGTTTTTCTTGGTTCCTTGGATTGGGAAGTATTTGAGAGATGTCTGTGTGTAGTTTCATAACAGTACACTGGGACAGGGTCAGGGGCTGTGCAGAACTTGGAATCAGAGCTGTTTGTGACTGATGTTCTGGGCATAACTTCTTCTTGGCCTCAGTTTCATAGGCTAAACGCTCAGTTGTCTAAACTTACCTGGCTTGTGCGCATGTCTAAGATTAAGCTTTTACTTCTTCCCAAAGTTCCGTAGCCAGGACAGTGGGTATTAATCCAAACATTACTATCGGCTGATAACATTCCTGATATGAATACATATTCATGTTCAAACAGTCTTTTACGTGAAATAACTGTTACAGTTATCAGGCTTTGAAATGTTTACTCTCTAGAAGGAAGAGATTCTCATTATGGGAGGAACATAATAACATCCTATTTTTTTAAGAGAAATTACACTTTAAACGTTCAGGTAAGAGAAGCAATAAAGATGTGGCCCAAATGTATCACACAGCATCAATATGGACGATCCTAAATCTATCTAAATGGTTCAATTTCTTGAATAATCTTTTCATAGTAGTGAAAAGTTTCTACTTTAAGCCATTCTTGTAGGGAAATCACAAACCTATAAATAAAGTCATTATTACAGGTGAAAATGAAAGTCTCTCAGTTGTGTCCAACTCTTTGCAATAGTCCATGGAATTCTCCAGGCCAGAATACTGGAGTGGGTAGCCTTTCCTTTCTCCAGGTGATCTTCCCAACCCAGGGATCAAACCCAGGTCTCCCACATTGCAGGCAGATTTTTTACCAGCTGAGCCACAAGGGAAGCCCATTATTACAGGTATATCCTTCCAAATGTGGGCTTCTGTTTCCCCATGAACTTCTAGTTTCTCTTACTTCAAATCTTTCCATTCCAGAGTGAGGAATGTTTTTGAGCTTTAAGTGAGATTTAGTGTTGTAAATTTGGCTTCCCAAATGGCACTAGTGGTAAAGAACCTGCCTGCCAATGCAGGAGACACAAGAGACGGGGGTTTGATCCCTAGGTCATGAAGATCCCTTATAGTCCCCGATGGGACTAGCCACCCCCTTCTCTTAATTCCCACAGCGTTTTCTATCTGCAGCTCTCATTTTGTTTTTCAAGTATTTTTTCCCCTCCCAACTAGCCTGGAAGTTCACAGAAAGCAGGGCCAGAGCACTTTAGAACCCCCACGCCCTCAGGTTCTTGTTTAGGGCCCTGCCATTGCGAGGAGGGAAGCTAAATCTGAGGTCTAATCCAGCTATGTGAGGGTTTGGTCTGGAAAACAAGATGCTCTAGAAATATTTCAGGCCAGCAGTCCCCGACATTTTTGGCACCAGGGACCAGTTTCATGGAAGACAGTTTTTCCATGGACTGAAGACAGGAGCTGGGGGGATGGTTTTAGGGTGACCTGCATAAGGAACACACAGCCTAGCTCTTTCACATGCACAGTTCACAGTAGGGTTAATGCTCTGAGAATCTAATGCCGCCGCTGCTCTGACAAGAGGCGGAGCTTGGAATGTAACTCGAGTGATGGGGAGCGGCTGTAAACACAGATGAAGTTTTGCTCACCTCCTGCTGTGTGGCCTGGTTCCTAA